GTTATTTTTTTTTAAAATAATTTTTTTAATTATTTAAAATGTTTTTTTCCTCAATCAATCCCCCGTAGAAGAATTCATTGATTTGAACTGAAGAAAAAGGCGCGATAATGTCGAGGCTATGGGCGAGTTTCGCGGGGCTTTTCAGTAATAAAACTCTGATCGGAATGGACAAATCCGGCAATCGTTACTTCGCCAAGAGTGAACCCATCGACGGCATCGGTGAGTTTTCCCCTCTTTGTTTGTTCTACAAAACCCTATTTTGTTTTCCCAATTATCAATTTTGCCTTTTGCTTTATTTATATTTTCTAATCTTATTTTTATCGAATTATTAGACGATTGCTTCCCTTATTTACCAATTACGGAAGAAATTGGAGTTTTTGTGTGTGTGTGTGTGTGTGTGTGACTGTGTGTATATGTGTGTGTCTGTGTGTGTGTGTGAATTGGGTAGCTCAGATAGTATTCTGATCTATGTTAGAAGCAATTTCTGTTGTAACTCATATTTTTTGAGGTTTAACTGAGTTCGATTTTTTGGTTGTTTTCTTGCTTTGCATTTTTGCAATTGATTCACTTATACTTGTTCGAAAGCTATGTAATCACAAAACAATGGTGTTCGATCTTATTACTATTTTTTTTAAACGTACATTTTCGCTCGTTTATTGATCAGTGAAGGAGAAAAGGTGGGTTCTATTTAAAGGAGAGCAAGATCCCACTTCCGTTCCTGGTATGTTCTTGTTCTCTCTAGTCGAGCTATTTCAGTAAACGGACTTTGATATTGTTCAAAGGCATTATGGTTTCAAATTGTAGAAAAATTGTGTTTAGTATGGGTTTAAATGAAAGGAACGACATTCGATGCGGCGTGGGTTTGTTTTGATATACAATTCTTTTGGTGTTTTCCCATTTTCATATGTATTCGTTTATTTGTAATCGATAATTGTTTATGTTTCAATAGTTTTGTTATAGTTGAATGGATATGTTGGCTGAATGGACAGCGCAAAAAAGCTCCAACAACAGAGGTAATAATCAATATATACAGTCTCCGGTTATTTCTTCTATAAACTATGGTCCTTTTGCGGGGGGTAATAGTGTAATATTCAGTCAGAGTTCCTTATTTTGTACAGATATCCATCCGTCTTTATCAATTTCTATGTATTTTCTTAATTCAATCCCGTTAAAAAAAATCTCCGTTTCTGGTGTAGCATATGATAGCAGTTTAAAGGCATAAAGAAAGCTAAAATTTCAGTGTTTGTCTTAATATTTTCTGCATCCAATATACCATGTTGTGTGGTTCTATCAAGTGTACTATTACATTCTTGTCTGTCGGCATTAATATTTTCTTTCAGACATGAATATAGTACACACTCGATAAATTTTGTTCTTTTAAATTCTCTTCTCGGCTTTTATTTGTGAATTAAACGTCAATAAACCATGTTCCATGACACACATATAGAGAAAGAAGCAGAATTCTAGCTATAAAGTGTGACGGTTATAGGGTTTTCTCATACCTATAACATGAACGAGTTATGAATTTCCGTTGTCGCTTTAAGTCATTATCGAAATCTTTAATCTATAATTTAGAAATCGCAAAACTCATTGGTTTCCTTTCAGGAAATGGTTGAGCTGGAGGCAAGGAGAGAACGTGTTAAACTAAATGTTGCTCGTGAGTAACTAGTATTCATATATTTATAACTTCGAATATTATTTTTCAATCCGATGCTCCGCTCCCCACTTGCATTGTTAATATTAGTCATTGTCTTTTTACTTATTTGCCATTTACCATTCGGTTCTTGAAAAGAAGCACTCGATTGCTATTTTTTTTTTTCATTTTTTTTATCGTATCAGTTCTCAAAAAGGAAGAAGAAGAAAGAAAAGCCAAAGAAGGCAAATCCAAGAGCATCGGTTAGTTATTCTCCTGCTTCTAGAAGATCGATATAAACTGCCTCCCCTAATTATATAATGATGTAAGCACGCTTACTCGTTTTATTGTGATATTCACGAATACAGGTAAAGCTACAGGCCCTGATTTGAAAAGCTTTATTCAACAGTTTCCTACTGATGCACAAGGTACAAAATAATGTCTTATAACCGTACAATATTACTTACAAAACAACGATCTTACCGTTTCTTGTTAGTTTAATGGGCATTTTTTTATTTGTTCGAAAAGGGAATATAATTGAAGCAGCATCCGCCTCAAATGACGTCACGAGGTTAGTATATATGGTGTACCCATGAATCGCAATGATGCTAATTATACTGAACTTTGTTTATTCTCTTGCTAATGAAACATTATAAAAATGTAGTGATAAACAAGTCCCAGAATCCATCACAAAACAGCCAGAGTAAGTTTTTTTTTTTTTCATTGAATTAAGATACATAATTTACTCAAATCGTAATTTTTGTTTTTAATTTACTTAAATTGTATTGTTTATTTTTAATTTTGTAACTCCGTTTTTCAGGTCTTCGGAGCCAAGTGGTTCTGGTTCATCCTACAGACCAGGGACATGGCAACCACCAACTTGACTCACAATCACGATTTCTAGATCCTTTTAAATTTGATGATTAATCGTTCGTTCGTTTTTTTTTTTTTTTCCGGATTAAATCAGGACCAGATTTAGCGGTTCGGTTTAATGATCTGAATTTTCTTTGCGAAACACCAAATATGTAATTGACATTGCAAGTTGTATTTTTGTACTTCACAAAATTTGGCCTACAAAAGGAATTCATGTTTCGGAAATCAAAAATGTTTCAGGTTGTTTCTGCAAAGTTTTGGGGATGTTTCTGGTAATAAAAAAATCCTTTGGGGATGTTTCTGGTAATAAAAAAATCGTTTCCACCTTAAAGAAATCCATAATCTATTTTAAATAAAGAATTGAAACTGCCTACGGGTTGAAAAAGTATTAAATATTTATCCTTTTCATTTTTAGTTGTGTTTTAATGTTTCCTTGTATATATCTTGTATTTAATTTGTGGAATGATCATACATATTAGATGTACTATTATATTTTTAATATTTACATATTTTCTCACGTTTCCGTATTAAGATAAAAAATTAGGACAAATTACGGCCACCCTTTTGAGATATGGTCAAATTACGGAAAAAATCATTCTTGTTCGGTAATTACAGCTATACCCTTTCTTTTAAATATTTTTACATAAAATTTATATAATCCGGTTTTTACCAAACAAAATCGTATACTTAGTTCGGTAAACGGCATGAAATTTCGGTTCGGTTTTACCGAATTGACATCCCTAAATTTACCTCTGCATAAATTTTTTTCTTAAGATAATACATAGTTGAGGGGTAACTGTAAATACTCAAATATGAAGGGGATTTTCGTAATTTGACATAGCTCAAGAGTGACCGTAATTTGCCCGAAAAATTAAGATACTTGTTATTATGTGACTCATATCCACGTGTACATGCCAAGTGGATACTTTATCTGGTGCATCAGTTAAAGTAAAGTCAAAGGATGAGCTGGAAAGTGTAAGGAGCTGTTACACTAGAAGACAGAACCCGTGAGGACCACTCTGACAGTGGTGGACACCTGTCGAGCTCACAGTGATTTGCTTGGGGACCAAGTTGCTTTTTGCTAGGGTTTACTGCATATATAAAGCACTTGGTGGAGAGGCTTGGAGGCTAAGTCCAAATCAAGGGGATAAGGCTTGAGGGGCTGGAAAGAGAGGAAACTCTCAAGAACAAAAGAAGAAGCTAGAGGGAAAGCAAGAAGAAAATCTTCACAGGGTTTGTGAGATTTGGGGTTGGGAAACAAGAGAGAAAAAGTGAGGTATACACAGGGGAGTGTCAATACAGCTTAGGTGAAATAGCTGTTGAGAGCTTGAGTGTTATCACTATCTTGTAATATGTAACCTTCTTGATCTAGTGGATTTTGTTCTCTCTGCACAGTGGATGTAGGCATGTGGTAATACAGGTCGAACCACTTTAAATATTGTGTTCTTTATTTGTTCTATTGCTTTCAGTTTTAGATCTGTGGTACTGTAGTTGTGTTATCTGCAACGGTGTTTTACAGTCGGTTGAGTCAACACAGTGGTATCTGTGTGTTCTTTCTTGGTTTGATTTTCATATTTGTGTGACTTGTTATTGCTTGTGGGCCTGAATCCACAACAATACTTAAAACCAGTCTTAGGCCTTGTTTGATTGCTCTTAATGAGCCTCTTAATCACTAATTTGCTGAATCGGTAAGCAATTGGAATATTAAGTGCGTTTGATATTAATGACTGAATGGTTCCAAAATGCTCTTAACTATTCAGTCCAAAAGTTGGTGCTGACCGAACAAGTGCTACATCTGAAGCAAATTTGCTCATAATTATCCTTTAATAAACTCATATATTTCCACATTAACCTCATGTCATAGCCCAACACACTACCACTTTTCTTCTTTAACAAAATTACCATTGCACAACTTCCAACTTTTTTACTCCATAAATAAGTTCTATCCTTTTTTCTTTCATTTATCTTAATAAAGTCAAATTATGTATTAAAATAAAAGGTAATTAGAATATATTTTATTCTTGTCAATTTTAGTGAATTTAGTATATTTTCATGTTTTAAGTTAATAAGTATTACTATTACCGCCTTTAGTTGCTTAGAGATTACTTTTTAAATTTGTTTGGCTTCTATATTTCGTATTTATATTATAATAATGTTAAATACTTGATATTTTAATACATATAGAGATGTTTGCCGAAATTTCATAATTTGTTGATTAAGTTAATCATGCTAAAGGAATTATATTTATACATATATGTTACTCATTAACAAATACTACAGTATTTGACCAAGGATATAACAGTAAAATAATATTATTCAGACGACATAACTTCAGCCATCAAATGAGCTTAATGATTCAGCATTCAGTATCCAGGCATAACTCTTAGTCATTCAGATGTGTATTCAGCATTCAGCATTCATTGCTTAATGTTATCAAACAGAGCCTTAATCTATGATAAGTTTGAGTAGATTCCAGATCGAACCAATCTTGTCAACTGATGTTGGGATAAACAGTCTCAAGTGCTTATATTTCCTTTGACTTAATTCTTGTACATAGGAAATGAGATTGAATTCCTTTAACAGCAAATTTATAAGCCGTTTTATTTCACTCATATAACTATCTGGTTTAATTCATCAATTCCAACGATGAATAAAAAAAGTTTGTGACTCATGGTGCCACGTCACTCCAAGAAGGCGTGAGCATCTACCTATTATGACATCCAAATCTTGGACCGCCACAACAATATTTCTATTTAATTTTAATTTATATATAAATAATATTTTTTTCTTTTTTAGGAAGTAAAGTAAAAGATGCCCTGATCGTCTAGATGCTTCTCAACACCATGAAAGTGGGACCCACTCTGCATTACAGTCGTCCAGGTGCGTCGAATCTACGCGTTCTTTAACGATCGGATCGAATCGGATCTTTTTCACTTTCAATCCAGACCGTCCATCTCTCCAGCTAAAAATTAGGAAATGTCCAAATTACCCCTGACAAGTCGGTAATCGCATTCTCTGGTTTTTCGGCTATAAATTCGAACCCCCAAACGGCACCTTCTCACAAAATTAAATTCTTCCGAAGCAATCATCTTGCTAGGTATGTCTTTCTCTCTCCTCCTCCCTCTCTCTCTCTCTAGAATTTTGCTTTCTTCAATTTGTGATCGTTACTAGTTTTCGTTCATATTCGATCGAGTTCTGATTCTAGGGTTTGCGTTGTCTCGATTTCTGATTTCTTCATCGCCGCCGTGGCGATCGTGGTGTTGAAATATACGATCGTTGCCGGAATAAAAAAATACGAACTTGTTTTGTAGTCTGCTATTTATTTTAGGGTTTCGTGTTGTGATCCTGTATATATCAATTCTCTGTTCTGTATGTGATTTTGCTGATTGAATGATTCGTGTAATTCGGAATCGATGTTACTTAATTTCGATTATACTTGCGTATATATATATATATTTTTTTGTGTTTGATTTCAGTTGAAACACATTAGAACAGAAACTTGCAGCTGAGGTATAATTGAAACCAGATTATTGTTTTTTTGCAAATTGTGTGAGCTTTCAGTTTGAACCATCGGAAAATTGTTTCGGTATTGCTTGTAATTCGAGTTTCAAGTTCCGATTTTTTCGCCTCAGGAACATATCAAAATATGGTTTAGGTATCTCTAGTTATAACTTTTTCGCCTCCACATATCAGCCTAGATTATTTTTCGCAATTTGTGTGTGATTTCAATTGGATCAGATTCAAATATGGTTTAGGTATTACTCGTATTTCTCGAGATTCTCGAGCCTGACGATTCTTTACCCTATTTGGCGATGCAGATTTCAGAGTTTTCGAGTGCACTAAAGAAATTTTCATGGTTGAACTAGACATTCAAATTCCATCTGCTTTCGATCCATTTGCCGACGCCGAAGACTTGGGTGCCATCGGAGCAAAGGAGTATGTACACATACGCATACAGCAGAGGAATGGAAAAAAGAGCTTAACTACCGTGCAGGGTTTGAAAAAGGAATTCAATTACGAAAAGATCCTTAAAAACCTCAAGAAAGAGTTCTGCTGCAACGGCAACGTCGTTCAGGACAAAGAGCTCGGCAAGGTTGTTCAGCTTCAAGGCGACCAGCGAAAGAATGTTTCCCAGTTTCTGATCGGTGCTGGTATTGTCAAGAAGGATCAAATCAAGATCCATGGTTTTTAGATTAAGGAAGAAGAAAAATCGAGTTTTTATAATTAAGTGTGGTTTTGTGTGGAGTGTTTTCGAGTTTCTTGCCTTTGTTTCTGTTTCGTTTTTGTTTCGGTTTGAATCTTGATTTCGCCCCGGGGTATGTGCCATGGGGTGTTTGGTGAACTATGTATGTGTTTGGTTTTCTAATAACATTGATGATTTATGTTTAGCTAGCAACTTTTTTATCCATCTCTCTTTTTTGGGGCAGTATACTATGTATCAAACTCTTTTAACTTCAATTAACAAGAGAGCTACGAAACTCTCAAACACACGAAATACTTGACATTCCAACTTCGGAAAGACGAGCCATAATTTATGGATTTAGTAAAGACCGATTTTCGGTTCCGTTTGCGATTTAACAACTCAAGATTAGAAGCATATATTAAGAATTCTTTATCAAATGTTTACTCTATCGTAGTAATACTCTGCGAGGTTCAAACGAAGAAGATTGCGTCCATTAATCGAAAAAATACCAACTAGACTATTTTCATGAATGTTAATTCAGATAAGGGACAAAAGCATCTCCCCTTTCTCAGATAAGGGACAAAAGCATCTCCCCTTTCTCAAGTGGATCGAAAAAATACCAACTAGACTATTTCCATGAATGCTATTTTCATATGTGTCTTGTTCTTGCTGAAAAAAACAAACTCAAAACTGCAAGTGTATTGCACTGAGTGGGACCCTTTTTTTTCTTTTTTCCTTTTTTTGAATGCGAAACTCGTACCGCGTATATTGCGCGCGCTCTACATGCATGAATCTTGAGCCAAGTGTTGTTACAAGTGTTGTATGAATACGTATATTTAATCGACGAAATTCATTTTATCTAATAGTGTCGCCGTCAAGGAGATATATATATCGAGTGCCAATTATATGCATGTCCATTGTCAACACAGATGACAATTACATAGTTCTTAGTATCTAGCATGCTACTTACTTGAGCTACATGCATATGCACATATATAACACACGCACACACATATACATATACATATATGTATATATATAAATATCAATTGGATGCCATTGATGGCCACTAGTCCAACAACAAAGCCACTTGAAACCAGTCCCCGTGATTTGCCCTTCGATTATTGATCTAACTCGTCGTAGCTCGATCGGCTTACAGAAATTATATATATATATAAGCATAAGAAAGATAGAAGAAGAAATGATTTTTACTGCACCACAAAGATTTATCATCTTATCCAAAATCTGAACCCATGTTGCGATCAATTGAAACGCAAATTTATTCGATTATACGTATAAACCCCACAAGAACTTTATGAACTTTGAACAAAAACGGAGCTGCGAAAAAGCTAATAAAAACACAAAATACAAAACCCAATACGACGTAGTATATTACATTCTATTTTTTCAACCATAGCATATCCAAAACAGTAGATTCAATAAAAACTTATGATCAAATTGATGTGAACTTTACAGAAGATAGGTCCCCTTTCATTTTGGACATACATACATACACTTGCTATATTGTAACCATGGAAAAGGATATATATATATATATATATATATATATATATATATATATATATATATATATATATATATATATATATATACAAAAAGAAAAAGTTGCATTAGCGACACACCACAATTGTGACAAATGCAAAAGTCATCACTTAATGCACACATTAAGTGACAATATTTTTTTTGTTCACTAATACCTCTTTTTATTGTCACTTACTGCTTATTTATTATCAAGAAGGATCAGATCAAGATTTTTATAATCAATATAAGTTATACAAAAAATTATCTTTGTGACCTTCCCATAAAAATTATCATCCCAAATCCATAGTAAATACTAGTGCAACTTGAGAAGCAACCCTCCCTCTTGCTTATTAAGATATATGATGTTACAAGAATACCCGTGTATTTCATAAGTCGAACGAACACGAACCAACTAGCTAGACTATTTTCAAGAATGCTAATTCCAAGCATCCTCCCTTTTTCAAGTGGGGAGAAAGTGACAACACGCGCGAGTCTTGTCTTCTTGCTAATAATAAACTCGAAACAGGCACATCGCAGCAAGTGCATTTATATATATAGTATCAATTGGACACCATTGATGGCAACTGGTCCAAAAACGATGCTACTTGAGAAACCAGTCGAATAAAAAAGCCCTAAGAACACAAAATACAAAATAAGAGTAGATATTCAACAAAAAAACTTACGATTATATTGATGTAAACTTTACAGAAGATACAAAGAAACCAGTCCCCTTTGATTTTGAACATACATACAATTCCTATAAATATTGTAACCATGAAAAAGGATATATACATATTTAATTATAAATCCAACTTAGCATCTTTGTATTCTTAAATTTTTTCAGTTTTCTCTTCATCTTCATCAAACACGTTTTCTGCATATAGGGCAGTTCCCTTGTCGGCTAAGCCATTCGTCTATGCAACAAAGGTGGTAAAGATGTTTACAGTTCGGCAGAAATCTCACCGCTTCTCCATCCTTCAAATCCTATTGTAATAAAAAGGATTAAAAATTTGTTGACGAAATCGGATATATATGTCTATTTATCAACTCTCGATTTTTTTTTTACCTGTAAGCAAATGGGACAACTAGTTTCGGAAAACAATGTGGTGGTCTCGTCATTTATGAATTCATCAACTGGCAACTGTTCGATTTCATCTTGAGATAATCCCCATGTAAAATTGATGTCAAAAGTATCGGAGATTTCGCTCGAATTCATTTCTGTAGTGCTAACCTGCAAGGAATTATTTACGTTCAGTACATTAATAATTTTAATCGGTGAAAAAAATAATAACATGCCGTTGATAAGCTTTTAGCACTGCAGGACTCACCCATTCTGTAAATATCTTCCCGTTCACCAGACTACGTAATAGTGCAACCTGAAAATAAACAATCCTCTTGTTTATTAGATCATCGTGTTTGATTAATAGTGTTTACTTAAGCTTTCTTTAATCCACACAACCATTTAATTATTAATACTGCTAATTTCAAGAATGTTAATCCAGTTAAGATAAAGCATTTCGTTTTCTTCAAGTGGCGAAAGTGACAACCCTCTTGCTAAAAGTAACTCAAAATTGGCACATATATCATTACGAAAAAAAATCGATCTCATGCATGAATCTTGAGTCAAGTGCTATTGTTATTTTATTTAGCTAAACTGGAAAAATAAATAAAAAATTATGCAAGATTCATGCACGCGTACAGACAGAGTAGAGTGGGATATTATGGATTCAACCGTGAAGTCCATCACCCACGCTCCTATTCATTCATTGAACGTCTAAATTCTAAAATGTCGAATAATAAAGATTTTTTTAATCAGTTCATCTATTGATATATGTATTTGATATCATGGGCAGATTTCCATTTGTGGAGCCCCTAGCTAATTAAGTTCTTCGATTCCGGAAAGATATCCCAGTTTCCAAGGAGATAACTAAAAATGAAATCAGGCTACATTTATGTCCGACAGAACTGCAGAATACCAGTCGTGTTTCGACCCTGACAAAGAACATATACTATTAAATACATCATGCTATCTACAGTGAAACCTCTATAAATTAATATAGTCGGGACCAACAAAATTCTATTAATTTAGCGAAATATTAAATTATCGAACTACTAATTTAATACGTATTTACCAAGTGAGGACCGAGAGAAATTATTATTAAAACGAGGTTATTAATTTATCGAGGTTATTTTGTATTTCAACTTCATGTACACACACACATATAGATATATATTCATCGATCACCTTGGAAAATGGCTCTCCATTAGCTATGAGCTCCATCAATTGGACGGCAGTAATGGCCCCTGCAACTGCACCGACACCGAACCCGCGTGAGAGGCCGGTTTCCGTTGTCTGGCCTTTGATTGCTCCGATTATTGCTCCGATTATAGCTCCACCTATATATAGAAAATATATCCCAATTAAGAAAAAGAAAAATAAAAGAAAAAAAGGTTACAACTACTGACATAGTTAAAAGACTAATCTTGATTGCATCGTTAAAGCGACAATTCATCGAACACGTGGTGTGCATACTGATCAAATATGTAGAAGAAACAACACACACCTAAAGCGAACATGCAAGTTACAATAGCCACGGCAAATTTCTTCACAATCCCGACAGCGAGAAACCAAGACGAACTGTCGGAGAACCATCTCTTTATTACTGAATAACAACACAGCAACATTTTGTGCGAAAAAAGAAATTTGTATTAGGAATTAAAATGGGCCCTCTTATTAATTTGCTGGAAATTAAATATCTGCAGAAGAAAGTTTGCAGAGAAATATGTGAGGGAATTGTTCAAGTGCAGCGAGCATTTTAGGAGAGAGAGAGAGAGAGAGAGAGAGAGAGAGAGAGAGAGAGAGAGAAGAGAAGAAGGATGAGAGAGAAGCATTCAAGATGGTTTAATTGGAGGTGAGAGCAAGTGCGGCGCACGTGCCGCTGCATGCATGTGTATGTGCGTGTGTGAAACAGCCATTTTTATGAATTGAGATTCCAGTTTTTATTTAAATATCTGCAATTGTATATATATATACATATATATATACATATATATATATATATATATATATATATATATATATATATATATATATATATATATATAAGTACGCAGAAAATAGAAAAAAAATTAAAAAAAAATCAATTGAGTAATGTGTAATTTGATCGTCACTTTGAAGAAAAAGAAAGAAGACACTAGAACAAATTGACAATTAAGTGATGTGACAATTAAATAGTAAAATTCATTATAACACTTCTTCCTTGTACACTTCAATTATAACATTTCATGCATTTGAGTTTTCTTTCTTTTTTTTTTTTTTTGTGTGTCCAGATTTTTCCTAAATTTTGTCGGTTTCTAATAGGGGTAAAAGTTGGAACGAAATTTCCAATTTCAGCCGGTTCTGATAAAAAAAGTTTTGATTTTGAAACAACTTTTTTCATTCTGATTTTCAATGTTTTTGGGGTTTTTTTTTTTTTATTTGGATTGTAATTATATGAAAAATATTTCATTTCGAGGTTTTTATTATTTCGTGTTATTTGAAAATAGGTGTCTAGTTCAATATAAACCATTATAGTTATTTTTAAAATATTAGAGTTCATCATATTAGTAGTTTTAAATTTTATGAAAGTGAGCGTTTTTATTTTTGAAATTTTACGAGGTTTTCGAAACTTTTTAAAACTGTTAAAACTTATGTGATTTGCAAAATTTCCGAAATTCCAAAATTTCCATAGTTTTTGGAATTGGAACGAATTTCTAGATTCCGAAAAGTTTCGCAATTAGAACTAAAATTAGTTTTGTGCTTCCAAGAAAAAAATAATTTTTTTTCTCGAAAAGGTCAATTTCAATATGTTTCATCCGACTTTCTTGCTAGCAGCAAAGACAACTAAATATTTAGACAATAGTATTCCGAAACTCTCCCATTGGTCCATCAATTAATGTCAACATGGATCCAATAGGATTTTGTTTGCCGTGTAGGGACACCTTATTTTATTATTTTATTTATTTATTTAATATTTTCTTGCACCTTCGAAATTCATTTAAGATGATTAAGTTTCGATCTGGGATTATGATGTTTTGCGAGTGGGTTCATGTAGAAACATCTTGATGATTATTTTATTTATTTGTAGTTGTTAAGTATACTAAATATGATCTCTCTTGAATTGGATAAAAAAATTCCCAAAAAAAAATTTATTGGATAAAAACTAGAACCAAAGCCATTCATTGGTTATTGCTAGTAAAAACTAGAACCCTCAATATCAAAGTCCAAACAGCAGCCCTATATAAATCATTCTACTCACTGAGTCGACTCACAAGCACTTAACAAAGAATCAGCTCACTCAAGAGTCGAGACACTCACAGAGTTCCTTTTTTTTTTTGTTCTCACTAAATTTCCACAAAAGGAAAAACATATTTGATCACAAACACTAACAATCATAGTATATTATAAAGGCTCAAAGTAAATAGCAATTGTAATTACTTACATCTAGAAGTGGAAACTCGAACAAATTCTTTTAATTCCATCGATGTCGATTTCAATATTTCCAATTTTGGTAAAAATATATTACTTTTCTTAATTTCAAAATTTTTGATGCCTATCTATTTGAATATTAGATTTCAAATCCCGGTCCCATTTTATTTTCCAGAAACATATCTAATAATTACAGATTAAGGTGGTGTTTGCAAATGATTATTTAAAAGCAGAAGTTAGTGATTGTGAATTAAGTCAGTTTTAAATGTTTATCTCTAAAAGTTGGGGGTGTTTGCAAATATTCCGGAAAATGAACTTAAATAGAAAAAGTAGGGTTATGGGTGCTTTTAAAAAAATAGCTTAAAGCAGATTATTTTAAGAAAAACAAAAGCAAAAGTTGATTTTGCAAACACCTGAAAACAAATTATGAGCAAAAAAAAGCTCATAATCACTTTCAAAAAGCATTTACAAACACCACCTAAATATCAATATTACTATCCATTTTATATTATATATCATATATGACTAGAAACATAAAAAAATCTGAATTTCGCCGATTCCAAATTGAAAAAGGCTGCGGCTATATGCAATACTCATTCCACTTGTGCAAGACCAAATTAAAGAAAGATTCCAAAAGATTCTATTTTATTAAGATGGAATGACAAGTATGCCCATAAATTAAATTGGCTTTTCTTTCTCATGTAAGACCAAATACAAATAATGAGGAAAAAACAAAAATCGACACCAAGGTGTCGAAAAACTATGCTACAAATCGACACTTAAGCGTCGAATTTCATAGGTAAAAATCGACATTGACATGTCGAATTTATAGCACAAATTCAAATGTCGAATTTTATACCTGAAAATCGACATCTAAATGTCGAATTTTATACCTCAAAATCGACATCTAAATGTCGATTTTTACCTGTAAAATTCGACATGTACATGTCGAATTCGTTTGCGCGGGATTTTTTTTTGGAAAATCGATATTCTAGCTAAAAAACCCATAAATGCATGCATTCTTAGGTTCTTCCATCGTAGAATCTTCTATTTTGATGTCTTTTGACTCCATACTCGCCATCTTTGTAAGATTTGTTGAGTTTTGATGATTTTGAATTTCTAGGTTTTGTGGGATAATGGAGGAGGAAGGAGAAAGGTTAGGTTTTGGAAGATGGAGAAGATGAGAGTTGGGCTTGTGGTTTTGTGGTCTTGTGATAGGGTTTTTTGTGTTTTTGAATTTTTTGTCTTGCATATTTGGAATTTTTTATTTTTAATAAATAAGGGTATTATAGTATTTATACATTGAAAATTTTAATTTGGTCTTGCACAAGTGGAATTAGTCTTGCATATAGCCGCAACCATTGAAAAATTCTGATTTGGGAACACGTTTGTCGTTTCAATTTCCGAAAATTCAATTTTTTGTAAGTGCAAATTCCAATCCGATTCATCCAAGTTCTACCACAACTTACGTTAATTACAAATTGGGCCCGCAATAATTTTCATTTTCAAATAATGGGCCAAAAAGCCCGAAATTAGGCCCATTTGAATAATGTAACTGAGAACAAATACCAGTACAGTGAGCCCGAGGTAGGTAATTTCACTCACACAGAAGCAGCAGAGAGCAGAATATAGGAAAATACTGATGGCGTGGTGCGCCGCCGCGAGGAGTTTCCATATTCCGGCAGTCGATGTAGGTTCACTTCGCTCTAGGGCTCCATTGGCCGTCGGTGTAGGCTGCGTATCATTGGCCGGAGCTAACCTCCGCCGCGCAGCTCGATCGCCGCCCTTCGCCTCCTTAGGCATCTCCACCGATGCTACTGCAAGTGAGTTTACAATTGATAAAATTCAGTTGAATATTATGCTTTTTTTTTTCATGACAATGTGTTTGGTAATTCTGGAAAATTATTGAGTACTTGTACCTTGTGCATTATTGGTTGTACTTTTTTAGGTGTTGTATTTGCCCCTGTTAGTGTAGTGGATTATCGAATGAAAAAAAACACAATTAATTGGATAAGTTTGGGTAATATGTGCAGTTTCCTTTATTGAATTCAACTTAGTACTGATTATCTCGATTAGGGGAAAGTTAGTTCGTTCACATACGCGATCTAATTAGCATTGCGTAGTTTCTGGAATTTGATGATGCACGTGAATTTCATATCTTGTATTTTCATTTCGCTCGATTATCGAATGGAAAAAAACAATTGTTTCGATAAGTTTGAGTAATGTGTGCAGTTTCCTTTATGGAATTCAACCCTAATATTGTGCTGATTATCTCGATTTTAGGCGAAAGTTAGTTCGTTCACATAAGCGATCTAATTAGCGTTGCGCAGTTTCTGGAATTTGATGATGTACGTGAATTTCATATCTTGTATCTTCATTTTGCTTGATTATCGAATAACAAAAAACAATTAATTTGATAAGTTTGAGTAATATGTGCAGTTTCCTTTATGGAATTCAACCTAATATTGTACTGATTATCTCGATTTTAGGCGAAAGTTAGTTCGTTCACATAAGGGATCTAATTAGTGTTGCGTATTTTCTGGAATTTGATGATGTACGTGAATTTCATATCTCGTATCTTCATTTCGCTCGATTATCGAATGAAAAAACAAATTTGATAAGTTTGAGTAGTATGTGCAGTTTCCTTTATGGAATTCAACCTAGTATTATACTGATTATCTCGATTAGGCGAAACTTAGTTCGTTCACATACGCGATCTAATTAGCATTGCGTATTTTCTAGAATTTGATGATATAACGATTATGCATTGTGTTTATAATGCTTGCAATGTGTTACTGTATTTAGGTGTAAAGGAAGCAGTTCTAACGGATAAGGCTCCAGCGGCATTGGGGCCGTATTCTCAAGCCATTAAAGCAAATAATATGGTGTTTGTGTCTGGTGTTCTTGGACTCGTTCCGGAGGTTTGTGACATTTCGTTATCTTATAAATATGAGTCGAACTTTTTTTATTTAATTTTTTTATAAATAAGATATTTTTCTTGTTTCAAATGCAGACTGGGAAGTTTGTCTCTGATAATGTGGAGGATCAAACCGAGCAGGTATACAGTATTTTGAAAATTAGTAGGAATGCATTTATAAATTTGTAGCTCGTGTATGCTCTTGAGGAAACCTAAATACAAAACTTTTGTTCTGAATGAAATTCGGATAGATCCGATTTGTATTTACGTAATTTGTAGTAAAATGTGACTTTTTTGAGTTGTTTGATAACAATTATCCTGTTTTCTCTTTGTTGGTCCACTTGACTGTCACGTATTGAATGAATATACTCAGAACACTGGTTATTTAAGGTCATTGTTAACATCGTGAAAACTGGTTATTTAAGGTCAAATAAATTAAGTTAGTTGTCGATTATTGGGCCTTCCTAGGTATTTAAGAAGCTTTAGAGGTAAAATAATGTTAAGTTACGAACAGAAGTTCTTAAGTATGTTCGTTCATCTTCTATCTTCTTATTTTACAATGAATGGTATTCGATTACGAAGAAAGTGCATATTAGGGCTATCCTCGATACTTATAGATATTATAGTTTGTTATTTTATATTTTTGAACGAGAGTCGCTAATACATATTTGAGATTATACACGTGATATAGGTACTTAAGAATATGGGTGAGATACTTAAAGCAAGTGGTGCCAGCTATTCCTCAGTTGTCAAGACAACAATCATGTAGGTGCATTGCACACACACACACACACACACAAATACATGCATATGCCCTCGCTCGCGTACATGTCACACTCGTACATTTTCCAACTTGTACAAGTTCCTTTCGACATTTAACATTACGTTTTTTGTTTCTTTAGGTTGGCTGATCTGAAGGACTTCAAGAAAGTCAATGAAATTTATGCTAAATGTAAGTTTTTTAAAACTCAAGGCAATTTCAATACTTCAGAAACTTAATTTTACCTTGCATGCTTCATTTATGTCTGTCTTCGACTGCGCAAAATACATTATTTAGGTACTGCATACTGCAGATAACATGAACAATTACTGGAATACTGGATTTCCTTTGTGTTCGATCTTTCGGATCATAAATATTTCCTTTCATCTTTCGAAACAAAACATTATGTTAATATTTTAATTTAGATTTAAATGCCTAAATTTAGAATGCTACAAAAATGTTGTTGAGCAATTCTCTCAGTTTGACTAGTATATAAACAATTATGTTGCAGATTTCACGGCACCTGCCCCAGCTCGCTCGACTTACCAGGTTGCTGCACTGCCATTGGACGCAAGAATTGAAATCGAATGCATAGCCGCACTGCCACAATAGCACCTCTTGGCGGTTGACCAAAATCTGTTGACTATTGTTCAACTAAATAAATCTGGAATTAGGATATGAAACCCAATTTTCTTCAAGAATCAAGTTACGGGTTTTCCTCGAGGATTTTCTGAACTTGTAATTTTACCGTTTTGGGGATCGGATTACCTTTTTTATTTGACGGCCACACCTGAAACTTATTTCATATTACTCGTTATTTATTTTCTTTGATCCAATCATAACCAATAGATACAATCAATCTACAGACAATTCGACCATGAAGGAAGAAGCATCAATGCCACATAATCAAGATTCATATAATACGACACGTACTGCCTTTATGATACAAGAACATCGAAAAATCCCAACAAAATAAAGAACTTACGAATAATTGCATAAACGCAACAATTGAAGTTACTGTCTTAAAGAAAAATTACAGAGCATCCTTGACAGAATTAAGACATTACATAGTACAGCTTAGAAAATTATTCTTAACTCTTTGTCCGAACAATTAGGTTTGAGAAACGATACAAATATGTAGATATATAGCTCATAGTACTTTCAAACCTTCGTTTATTCGTCAAAACTTCTGCTTCAAAACCTGTCGAAGCTGCACCTTTTGACTCTCCATCCTAGCCTCCATCAACCTAGCCTTCAAGCTATTCTTGTGGGGTCCACGTGGCCATTCAATGCACCCTTTCATCGCACGATTCACATGCGGGTTTCCCAAATCCGGCGAGCTCCACTGCCCGGAATATTCCCTTGGACTAAACCCACCACCACAATCGGGCGACGCCATACCGTGGGCCCCACTAGAGACCCTACCGTTTGAAAACCGTCCGATAGATACAATCTTGTTGTAACTATCACCGTTGCTCGAGTACGAAGACCTCCACATCTTGGATTCCGAAGAACCCTTTCTCAATTTCCTCGCCTTCGCCACATCATCATCACCGACTTCTCCGATTTCCATAGTCGGTGTTTCCTCACCACCGTTTCTCGAAAAATTCCCATCGGGAGAGTAACTTGAGCCCCTATGACTCACTGTTTCCCACTCGCTTGCATCCTCTTCCAATTCTCCGCTCCGATCCGTATAGACATTGGAATCTTTACGAGAATATTCCTTGTTGAGCATTTTCTCTTCAGGGCTCACTCGGTGGATCTTCGATTCGATGTCGTCGTCCCTTTCGTTCGCTTCGCCAAAATTAGCATCTTCGAACATGGAGAAAATATCGTCGGGGTTCGGGGGCTCGTACGTAATTTCACGTACATCCCCCATGTCGACTGAGGCTGCCACCTGGCGGAGGAAATCAGCTTTCTTGATCTCCTCTGAATCTGAAGTGGGGTTTCTAGAATTCAAGAAAGACTCGATTTTTTCCACTAGAACGGTCATTTGGGAGTACTTATCTTCGAGCATGACTTTAGCATCGACTAATTTCATTTGGACTCGTTCTTCACGCCAAACTTCGGCCATTTGCAGCATTTTTCTCTCTTCATCAACTTCTTCACGGAGTTTCATCGACTCTCTTTTTAATGCTTCCACCTCAGCTTTGTCTTCTCCGATTTCTTTAGCTAGTTCGTCACAAACCTCCTCTATTAATTCTCGGGCTTTCCTTTCCTTTTCATATTCTTGAAGATAACGCTTTGCAGATAATTTGGTGTCGGACAATTCTTTGACCAGCTTTGAGTTGACTATTTCGAGCTTCTGCCTGTTTTTTTTCTCCCTGCTCAAATCGGATTTCATGTCGTCGATTATTGCTCGGATCTTTTCGTGCTCTCTGCTCCGCCACGCGGATCTTTCCTCGCTGAGTTCATGTAAGAATTGCTCAAGTTTCTTCTTGGAAGATCTGCGCTCGTTTTCGAGGTAGTTGATTCTGGATCGAGCTTGCTCGAGATCTGATTGGAGGGTTGATATTACTGCAGCTGCACTTTCTTGATTTTTGGGCGCGCTCGGTTGGTTGAATATTTGCTTCGTTTCGTGTGATGTTGATGCTCTCCAACCATGTGGGTCCCACTTTGTGGCTCCCTCCATTGCGGGGTTTGGAAGTTGGAACGGTGGGTCGAACTGCCAAAAGTCGAGAGAGAATGTTTTTCGATATAAATGGACTATTTTTAAAACCCAAAAAAAGTAATTTTTCATTCCAAAACCGAAATTCCGATTTTCCCAATTTTTTTAATCGGAAATGATATATATGTAACATTCCGATCCTATTTCAATTTCCGAAAATTTTGATTTTTGTCCAAAAATTACAAGAATAATATCAATGTTATTGTTATGCATTTTATATTTTAGGTGACTATTAATTGAAATTTTCCAAATTCCGCAGATTCTGATCCGAATAATTTCTGATTTTGGAACGAGTTTTTTCATTCCGATTTCCAAAATCTTAGCTCGTACATACATTATATATAGGTGTATGTATCGTCTACAAAGCTCGTGTCTTTCCATTTAAGCATAGAGAACTTAACTGAGAAATGAAAAGAACCAAGTCATGTGAAATTAATTCGATACCTTGTAAGGAAGGCCGTGTTTTAGACCAGAAACCGAATGCGGACTATGTACCGGATCTTTGACCGACGAATTATGCACTCTGTCGAAATTATGACAATGAATATTGCCTCCAAAATGGCCACCTCCCCCGGACTGCAGATACGATCAACCAATGAGCAAATTGAATTTCGAAAAAACCGTATTTAATAGCAGCGAGAAGAAAAAAAATGGTCCCGAAAAATTTCATTGTCGAATAAACTAAATCAAGATTCGACATTAATAGTGTTCAAGAAAATTCAAAATAGTATTCAAGAAAAATCATGGATTTTAAATTTACTTGAATTAATTCATCTGCAATTAATGAAAATGAAAATGTATATTATGACTAGATTCAAAAATAAGTACAAATCCCCGTCACTAAGTATGATTAAGAACTCTTAATTAATATTTATTAGAGATTAAGAAAAGATTAAAAAATAATACCTGAAGCCCTAACTTTTGGGCATCATTAGCCTGAACCTCCGGCAAACCCAGCCGCCACAGACCGGCGCCGAGTTTCCTGGCAGAAACGACGGCCCTACTCCGCCGGCTGATTTTCCGGCCAGCTTCACCGGACGATTTCTCCTCCTCCTCCACGACGGAATTAGTTTGGACATTGGGCTCCTCGAACTTCCACCTGAGCAAAGGGGTCTCGGGGCGGCTGCTCCGCTTCGCAGACGGGTCCCTCTTCAGCCGGACTCCGGCGCCGGGAGCTCTGGTTTTCCGGCGAGGCGGCTTGCGCGGAAAAATCGGCTTTTCGGAAAGATCTGAGGGCGGGGGAGGGTTCGGAGGAGGCTGGATTTCTCGGGAGGCGGTGGTTCTTTCTACTGTGACCTTCATTACTGCCGATGCGTGGGCTCCGCCGCCATTTTTGGTTTGAACTCCGATTAAAAAAAGAAAAGAAAAAAACACAGTGTGTGATGACGATTTCGGAGCTTGGAGTTGAGGGTTTGAGTGTGTGAAAAAATGGCGGACCCTCGATCCCTTTTCAGGAAGAGAGAGAAAGAGGAGAGAGAGAGAGAGAGTGTGTGTGTGTGTGTCTGTGTGTGGAGAGATGGGTACGGTCAACGTCTTTCTATTACATCAAAAAAAAAAATCAAACGTTGGATTTCATTGCGTGTATTATATTATATGTATGTATTAAAATATGGAAAACTACGAAAACCCCCCTCAACTTAGACTAAATTACAAAAAGACCACCTCTACCTATTTGAAATTACCAAAAACCCCCCTGATGTTTGTTTTCGTCTTACACCAATGCCTTACGATGGGACTTTTTTCACGGATTTTTCTTTATTCTAAGGGATAGACTTTACACAGTTTCAGATATTTTCTTTTATTTCTTACCTATTTAACATAAGGTGTCATAAATTGTACACGTTTTCTGTTAAAAAACTCGAATAACAGTTAATCAGAGGGGAATTTTGGTTATTACGAATAGATGGTGATGTTTTTCGTTATTCAACCTAAGTTTAGGGGGTTTTCGTAGTTTACCCAAAAATTAAAATAAACAATTAAAATAAAAAATAAAAAATTAAGAGGAAGCGAAACGACGTCGTAATGGGGTTCAAGGTATCCAAGGATGGCGACGTGTCATTGGTATATGGCGACGGTGCCAACTTTGGAACTGATTAATTAAGATTAGGCTTTTGGAACATAATTACTTGGGGGGCGGCCCCCCCACCCCCACGGCCCAACGCTCCACCAACTATTCAATATTTGGTTTTTTTCGCTTAAGCTTAATTAACGAGCTAATCAATGTAATTAAGAATTCAAATAAAGATTAATGATGAGAGTTCATATAAGTTGATGTGTAATGCCAAGAGACGAATGTTAATTAGTGTTGGATGAGATTAATTGATGAACGTTGAAATTATATAATTAAATAATTAAATCCCTAAAAGTGTGATGTTGCTAGAAATAAATCATGAACTTAATGATTCCGAGATACTTGTAGATCAGAGAACACGTAAAGTAAGCTGTAGGGTTGATCCGGCGGGCACCCTTTTGTCGCTCAAGTGAGGCGTTTGGATAGCAAAAGTAGTAAAGAGAATGTTGGAAGTCGTTTCGATATAATATTAGAAAGTACATTAATAAATGAATTGTAATTTTTATTTTTACCAAGTTGATTGTGCTGAAGTTAATTGATTGAGATTGTCGTACTCAAATATTATTTGAAGGTGATTGGGTCTTCGTTGTAGTGGTCTTCAAAGTTGGGCTCATAACCGGTACGTGAAGAAATTATAAGTTCATTGAATTGACCGAATTAGACATATCATAGTGGTATTTCTAATTAGATTAATTAGTATTTATTTTAATGTGTAACCCAATAAATTGGTCAAATAAATATATGTTAAGAAATGTGAGTAATATACATGTGCTCGCTCGTATTTTCAGGCACATACAGTGTTGCCAGAATCAAGTTTTGTGGATGTTACACTCAATATGAAGTACAAAATATTATAAATTGATTGATAACCACTATATTATTAATAACTAATGTTCATAATATACTAAATTCAATTGATAATACCAAATTCAATTTAATCATGATTTTGGAATAGTTTGGCTAATTGCATCAAATATATTAACGGAATATGGACTAGTTTTTTTTTTGGTGATAAATTGAAAATGGTCTAATTGCGATATGGTTCGAGTAATTTATTATTTATTTTTATTTTTTTTAAATAATTTGTGACTAAGAAATGAAAAATAAAGTATATAGTAAATTGGTATATATGCAAGTTGACGGTGGATGTTGGCCACGTGGGGGCGGCACTTTGCTAGATTAACGGCCGATTTTATAATTCATCTTCAAATTGGAATCCAATAATCCAATTTTCTCCATCAGAACAATCTATAGTGTGTTTTTTTTCCCAAATTTTTACTCCGTTTATCATCACTGGCGAAATTAGGATTTTAAGTTCGACCAGCCGAATGTATTACAAAAATTAAAGGGTGTTAATAATGTTATTATCAATATGACGTACGAATTTACCTCAAATTTACATGGGGACAAATTATAGAAAGATTGTTCACCATTTGAATTTTTGTTTAACTAGTTAAGAATTAATTATGAGGTTAAAGTATAGTGATAATGCTAAAAAGTAGATCACCTAAGTGAGTTGAATTAGGATGAGTTGGAAGAGCAGAGTGGATCACTGACTCACGAGCTTGATGACCTTAAGATACCTGCGATTACAGAACACGTAAACTAGGCCGGGGTTGATCCGGCGGAAACCCCTCCGACGCTCAAGTCAGACGTGCGGATAGTGGAAATAGTCCAGATAATACAGTTAATAGTATTGCTCAGTTAATAGGACGTACCTTAAGGATTGAGTTCAAACCTTTATTTATAACTTAGTTGAGATTGTCGGGCCCAAACCTTACTTGAAGATGATTGGGTCTCGGTGATAATGGTCTTCGATATTGGGCTCGTGACCCAATAGGTAAAGAAATTGTAGGCCCATTAGGTTGGCCCAATTAGACATATCATATAGGAATTATCAGAAACACAACTTGATCAATTGTTGCAACAATCATACACAACTTTTGTCACACATTCAAAAAACAACAATGATTTTAATGGAAAGTTAGGAATTTTGTGGGGTATTTCATAATATCACAATCTGAATTTTCCAATGACATTTGCCAACTAAATTTTGGACTATTTGATGATGTTTTAATGAGTAATAACTTGACAAAAAATATTTTTATTTTAGATTTTTAGATATTTTTTTTTAAAATGACTTGCTTTGCTTGGATCACTTCCTATATGTAGATATTTATGATTATATTTGTCATTTTTTCTTCTATTTTGATTTATCAATAAATATTTAAATACAGATATATATTGAACAAAGCCAATAATATTAATTGTACGTGCTTTTGCCCCTTTTTTGTTATGGGCATAGCAAAATTAGCTACTCTACTACCTATATTTATTTGAAATATTCAACTAAAGGCATTTAATTATGAGTTCTATATATAGCCATTTCAATATTTGCATTCTGCAACTCTACTAACCCAATGTTTTATAAGACTAACAATCGGGTCACGTGGGTCGAGCTTAGTTTGACTCAAACTTATACTATCGGATCTTATCACAGTAGGCTCAACCTCGTCTTATGTATTTTTTCGAATTCGAGTATGTATCGGACTTATATCGAGCAATATATAAACTTCATATTTTGCAGCCAAAGGTGTTCACAAAAAAAAAAAAAAGGCTCAATCATATAATGAATATAGGGCAAATTACAACTACCCTTGAGGTACGGCCAAATTACGAAAAAAACCCTCTTGTTTGGGTAATTACTGCCACATCCCTCATTTTAAATATTTTTACATAAAATTTATGTAATTCGGTTATTTACCGAACCAAATCGTATATTCAGTTCAGTAAACGTTATGAATGTTGGCATACCGAAATTTCGGTTCGATTTTACCGTATTAACCCTAAATTTACCTCTAGAGGATCTTTTCATAAGATAATACATAGTTGAGGGGGTGACTGTAATTACCCAAACATAAGGGGATTTTTCGTAATTTAACCATAACTCATTGGGTGATCGTAATTTGACCTAAATATATTATATATTTAAGTATTAACTAAATCGAGCGGGTTTGAGTAGAGTCATAGTAATTCTTCATATGAAGGACATGGTGTATTTACGGATATGTAATTTTATTTGAAGGACATGGTGTATTTACGGATTTAATTCTTCATATGATTTAGAACAAAGAAATCGGGCTATTATTTATCACCTCAAAAAAAAATTAAAAAAATGGGGCTATTTTTTTTTTATTTATTTATTTTACTTTTTCTTTGTCAGTTTATATGTAGAAAAATAGTAGGCCGTACATTCAGAGATCCAAAGAAAAAAGAATCCGAGGGGATAATAATTAATAATTAATAACGCTTATTAATTATGAAACATGTAATAAAACTATAATGTAATAGGAGTAAATGCCCTTTCTTGCTTGGTCAAAGTAGCATTAGTACCCTAATCTATTAGACCTAGATCTCATTTTCTTTTCTTTTTTTTCTTTTTTTTTTCATGATCAATTATATAAATGTTATTGAAATCGTGTCTTTATCATATTTATTACAAGACTTTATATAGGAACATCTTTCTAATTGCTTCTTATTTTTTTTTTATCTATTTGGAAAGAATATTTTCGAGTCTTCTACTTCTAAGTTTAACAGGCCACGACCCTCGTTTAGTTCGCCATCTATTACTTCGTGCTACTCTTTTTACACGAGCCGGGACTTGAATGTTGACTTTTTACCTATGCGAGTTATACATCAGCAAGCTCTGTAATGTTAAGCTCTTCGTTGGCGAACATCTGACCCGTCTTGGTTCTTGTCATTCATTCGGCTTTTGATCCAATAAGCTCAGTTCAAAGGGTTCGGTCCACGTGCTCTTAGTCATTATATTGTTTTACAAGCCCAAATGAGGGGTTGACTAAAATTACCAAAATGACCCTATTAATCGTTTATTAAATATCTTGTTTTAATTTTGTACATATAGAGAAATACCCAAAAAGGATGCATGTGCCATTTTATGTAAATATGTAAAAGATGGAACAAATTTCATATTTAATTATTACATTTATAGATTGATTTATGTTTCGTATATTATGCAAAAAAATGTAATTAAATATTGATAAGTTGATCATGGTCACGTGGTTGCTTTGGTCGGGAAGAGAGAGAGAGAGAGATATGAGGGGACAGAGGCTCAGAGCATCCAATAATTTGATTATTTGGATTTTAGCACATTTAAAAATGCAATAAATTGGATTTTTTACAGTAGGAAATAATTATTGATTTAGTGGTAAATAAATAAATAAATAAAAAAAAAATAAGGATTTTAGTTTTACGTTGTTATTTTGTCTGCGCAGCCCATGTATGCAATGTTTAATTGGGCACGGTCCAACACCTATGCAGAGTTAAATTAGTAGAAAAAGCCCAAAAAAACTATTTATTTATTTTTTAATAATTTTATTGAAACATTTTTGCAAATATAGTATTGTTGGTCTCTTATAAATTCATTTGGTTGCATCTAGATGATGTCTTGTAGGTGATACGTCCGATAAAATACACCTGGTAATTATTCAAATTTAATTTACTCACTACGAACTTATAAGTAGGGAAAATTTGTATGAATTTATACATCGTGTATGATAGGATACAATTCGAGTTTGTTTTAAATTAATCAAATAGCAAAAGAACTACGAGTTTTACAAGATAGTGATTTGTATCTAATTGCGAGATTCAAATTTTATAGCGTGTTGAATTAATCTGAATCTTATCAATCGAACATGTTACTAACTGTTGATATTCGATCAATTAGACTCTATGCTGCACGAACACTTCTAGAATGTGAAGAGTCCCCGTATCCGATACCTGGACACTCGGACACTCCCGGACACTTCTCGGACACCCGTGTCGGGCCGTGTCGTAATTTCGCTAAAAGTAGGACACCCGTATCGGGCGGTGTCCACAATTTTAAAAAAGTTGGGACACTTCTCTTACGTTGTAAGAGAGAGCCCTTATAAAAAAAATGCGCATTTTCTTCTCTGTAATACACATTTCATCTGTTTTCGTTGTGAGTCCACCCAAAACTCTAAAAGTCTAGCATGCGACGGCGATCAAGAACACAAGCAACAAGGGCGAGTGGTTCTCTTATGCTATGACGACTTATACATATTTTTTACAATTTATCAATGTACCCCTATATTTTTATTATTTTAAAATATACCCCTATATTTTTTTATATTTACGCGTATCCCCCACGTGTCCGTATCCTAGTTTTTTGGAAATGCCGTATCACCGTATCCGTATCCGCGTATCGCCGTGTCCACGTATCCGTGTCCGTGCACCATAGATTAGACTTATAACGAGTCCGACCACCGAACGAGATCTTAGTATTGTCTTGTGATTAATTTCATTAATTATGTTGGCAAACGAGTTAACGGGCCTTACCGAGGGGATTAGAGTGGCTAATTACGGATGTGATTATGATTTATTATTATTATTATTATTATTATTATTATTATTATTATTATTATTATTATTATTATTATTATTATTATTATTATTATTATTATTATTAATGATGAATAGAAGCCACGACGTGAAGCTGCAGTGGAATATGCTGTTTCTTAAGCCGTGTTCACACTAATCATTCAAGTGCAAGATTCCAACTCAACTTCCTTTCACACTTATTGGCGGCTCTTAGCCGGCTTTACATTCGGCTTAATCAATTACTATAACAAAAAAAATAAAGCGTGTTTATCAATTTAATTATAATTTTTTTAATAAGTAAATGATTTTTTTTTTACAACAGTCAATACTCTCATTTGTATCATTATAACTCTTTATAACAAAATTTATCTAATTCTACTCTTAATTTTTTTTTATCAATTGTCCTTAAATATAATTTATAGTTGAATTACTTTTGTAGTATTTTAAAATTAATAGAAGATATTTACATGCATGTGTATAATTTTTTTCTCTTATGAATTATTCGAAAAAGTATTGTATACTTTAATTCCAATACATTTTTTTGAACATTGTGCTCTAAAATTTAATTTTAAGACAAATTACGGCCACCTCTTAGGTAATGTAAAACTATGAAGGAAAAGAATTCATCTTGTTTAGATAATTACAATTCCCCATTAACTATGTAATGTTTAAAGAAAATCCCTATTTCGATTGATAAATTTGACACTGTATGAATGAATGAGTAAGAAAATAAATAGTTAAGGAATGGGGCTATGATTGTAACTACCAATTTTTTTTTTCTTCATAATTTGACGTTATCTTGGATTTGACGAAATTAATATGCCCTAAATTTTAAGTAGCTAACAAATTAGAGGTATAATAAAAATAAACTCAAAACAAATATAAACTATCAATTGACTAATGAACTATAAAAATATAAGCATGGCTCTATTCTTAAAAGAATAATAAACATTGTTAAATGAAGTTTATTTTCCCATTTAATTAAATATGCAAGCAATTAGCAAAGAAAGCCATAAGTAAAGTTGAGCTGAGCCGCGGCTCACGTAGCTCGTTGAGCCAAACCCTAAATTTGTACAATGTGGCCCCCACGCCACCATCTCCGGCAAGATGACGTCACCCCCCACCACCCCACTACCTCCTTATAAAAACAGACAACTCTCATTCTACAAAACCTTCCCAAAAAAAAAACACACAACACACACTAACATTAACCAATAAACACACACTTAGATATAGATACATACATAGACATATACATACATATATACATACAAAGAATATGGGAAATTGCATAAGGAAAGAATCAGCCATGCAATGGGGCGGCGAAGACTGGGGTTCATTCAACTCCTCCGGCGGCGATCAAAATATCAAAACTCGTGGAAACGAGAAACACGATATTTTCAACTACTCCTTAGAAGAGAAAACGGGTCTACTTCTCGGAGGAGAAACGAGATCATCACGTGGTGGGGTTTTATCCTCTGTTACGCATCATCAGGTGAAGCTCAAAATCTCGAAGAAAGAATTGGAGCATCTTCTGAAGAAAGCTGACGTTGTAGGGCTACCGTTGGATGAAGTTTTCGCCCAGCTGATGTACGGCGGTGATTGCCTCCTCCGGCCGGACCATCAACCGCCGCCGTGGAGCCCCGCCCTGCAGAGTATACCTGAATAATTCCTAGATGCAGCAGATTTTTTTTAATTTTATTTCCTCTGTAAATTAAAGTTTGTTTTAATTATGTTCCTTTGTCTGATTTTTTAGATTTTAGGAGCATTATAATTAATTATTTATATTTATAATTTACTTATTGTTTCTTTCTTTTTTCATGTATAGTTGATTAAAGAGTAAACTGCAAAAAGTACCCCTGTGTAATCTCTAAATAGCGAAAACCTCCCTATGATAAATAAACTAGCAAAAACCCCCCTGTGAAATTATTTAAATAGCACACTCGGCCCATTTATCATATGAGTGTTGACTTCATATAAAAAGGCGCAAATACCCACGGGATTTGCAATTAATAAATTCTTATATTTTTTTAAATATTTTAATTATTTTATTTTTGTTATATCTTAATTATAAAGGTACGATGGGGTCTTTAATTTATTTTTGTTTTTATTATCACATAGTTTTTGTATATATTTTAAATTATCGCTACATCAAAAGAAAATTTAAATTCCGTTATTATATATTTTAAAAAAATTATACTTAATTTGATTAACAATTTTTTAATAATATTTAAATTTAATTATTTACTATTTTTTAACAATATTTTAATTTCTAAACAATCAAAATAAAAGAAAAATATATATACATATAATATATATACATATAATATATGTACATACATAAACATATTTAGGGACAATTTCGTCATTTCACGTCCAAAAACCTACTACCAGTCGCGCAACCCGCGAGTGAGCCACACCTAAGTCAACCGGGGGGTTTTTTGCCTTTGACTAAATTTCACAAGGGGGTTTTTGCTAGTTTATTTATCACAGGGGGGTTTTTGCTATTTGGAAATTACACAGGGGTACTTTTTGCAGTTTACTCGTTGATTAAATTGAAATTGAAAAATTTAAATGCATAATTAATTAATGAACACAATTCTGTTTAAATAGTCTTGCATTATTGTATCGACGAACTTTAAGATTTTCGTTATTTATTGAAAAAAATCAATTGTTCCAAGTTGATCGAAGCCCACGAAAAAACGAGTCATCGGAATTTTACGAATTGGACTAGCTAATTATTTTCTACAATAAATACCCGGGATTTTTGTATATATCATTTAATTTCATATATTTTTTGCAGTAATTACGTATCCAACTTTTGACGCAAAACAGATTTTCCGGTCGTCATAATTTCATTTTTTTACTAATGAAATCGTTGTATTCTCGATCGCTAACTTAATTCGGGAATCTTCGAATCTACTAACCTCGAGTTTACTTCACCTACATTATCGGAAAGTAGCATGCATTTTGAAATTTTCCGCGGTTTTTTTTTTCTAATTAAATAATTTCCCAAAAACATCAAATCATTCTAAGCCTTGTTTATATATAAATTCCAACATATTTGCTGGCGTTGACTTCCAAGTTATTGATCAATTGGCACCAGATGAACAAATAGAGTTTGACCAATCATAATTATTTCATCTTATACAGCAAATAAAAGCTCGAAGGCACGCCAAAAATAAAATAAAATAGTCAACTACTTAAAAAATCCACCACGTAGTTCAAATTATTTATTTTAATTAGTCGCCTATAATTTGGATATATACAAATAATCTCTAACAAATAAATAAATTAAAAAAAAAAAAAAAATTAAATTAAATTGAAGTATCCAATTGAGTTTTGTCGATTGGTTAAGTTCTGAAGTCTTGTTGAAGGTCCACCAGTACAAGTTGTGTGGTCGTGTGTTGTATATTATTTTAGTTGTCACGATTGCACATGTCAAAATAAGATAAGTTTTCATTTTATTGGAATCCAATTATGTAGTTGAATTAAATAGTGTATACAATTTTCCAAATATGTTTTTTTTTGAGAGAAGAAACGAAATTATACTAATCCTCAAAACCGACCAATCACAAAGAAAGTTCAGGATCTTTCATACAACTATAAAACTCGATTATTTTTCTTCAATATAAGTACCAAAGGAAAGATCCAGATGTATTGAAGGCTTCCATAACTTGCAAACAATCGCCGGCCTCCAACCGCCCTTGGTCCCGCTATGGAATTTTGACACTTTTCCACCAACAATATGCACCTCTCGAATCCCGAGCAACAATGGACATCACATAGTAATCTTTGTTCAACGGTAAACGGGACATCAAAGTTTACCTTTATACCGCCAACCGGAGGAGGCGCCCAACTTGTCCGATGAGCTCTCCCTTTTGATCGTTCGTATGTTTGAGAGCGAGCTCATTTATAACTCGATAAAAAGGACACTACCTGATACGGACCAAATTGTCCTCATGGGGTTTCCTAATCATTTATTGGGCCGTAGATTGAGTTTTCACTTGTATTTGGTCCAAAGTCATATCAGGCCAAAGAAGAGGAGTTAGTGCAAGTTTGCTTATTTCTTGCCCATTAAATAGGGAGTTACTCTCAACCTTTCATTTCTATGTTCTCTCTTACATATCACACTCAATTATCTCTGGATAAAAATTAACTTGATCGTCGGAGCTTCTACGCCGGGAAACCCCTCCCGGCGTTGCAGGTATCTCTCCGGCCGAATCCCTGACAAGCTATCATCCAAAATATCTTCCAAGGAGACACGTCATCGTCTCGACCATTTTGGAGCAAATTACTACCGATCTCAATAAGTTAATATAATAGGTGTAAAATTAATTTTTTTTTTCGATCGATTTAAAAGGTTAGTAAACTATTCAAACATGAACCAATATCTAAGTATGAATTAATTGTAGCAACAAACGTTACCCAAATTATAGACCTATTCATAATGTCATATATATATAGAATTTTTGTTGCCCAATATTATTGGGTTGGTTCATATGTTGAAATTATATTAATTTGAAAATTAAGTTTAGGCCCATTTCCAGGTTGGCTTTTCTGATCCATTTTGTACATAGTAATTTACTTTGGTCCATTTCCGGGAGGGCCCACTTGATGGTCACAATAGGCAGTCATTCTTGTTTTGTCACAGCATCGTTATTTTATCATTCAAACTCCGCAAAAAGCATCATCGTTCTTTACGCTTCGTAAGAAAAAGATAAAAAAATAAAAAAAATAATATAATAAAAAGTTAAGGGTAAATTACAACCAACTTTCAACTTTCTGAGGTACGGTCAAATTACGAAAAATATCCCTCATGTTTAGATAATTATAACCACCATCTTAACTATAAATCTTCTTACACGTCTACCATTGCGGAGTCAAATTTAGTGGAATCTTCTAGATTATATGAAATATTCTCAATTTTATACACGTTTTATCCCATTCGAGATCTCCATATTTTGAAGCAAGATGATCATAAGATGTATTTTTTGGCTTGTATATATCATATTGAAACTGCATTTCTACACAAAATGAGTACAAACTAGAGAACATTCCACGAAATCTAGAAGATTATGTTGAATTTTAGTATTTGACACCATAAAGGTGGACGTGTAAGAAGATTCATAGTTAATAGTAGTTGTTTTTATTAAACATGAGGTCTTTTTTGTAATTTGACTATAACTCAGGGGTTGGTTGCAATTTCTCCGAGAATTATCATTATTCATTAATGTTGGTCCCTAAGTCCAAACCCCATAAATACTTTATTTCAATTTAATAATTAAAATTAAAATTAAAATTCGCCACTCTCTCTGCAATACCCTTCACCAGTCAACTTTTCTAGGGTTTTAACCCAAGCAAAATTCATTTCGGGCCTTTGTTTCAGGTAATTATCTTCTGTATTTCGCTTATTTAATTACGAATTATCTTAATTTATATTACAGTTATCCCCATTTCCGAAACATACGCGATTTCTTGCTTCCTAAATGTTTGGGTCTCGCTATTTTTATTTTTTATTTTTTTCTTTCTGGTTAAATTTTATGTTTTTCAATTGCTTCGGCTTGTTGCATGGGTTATTCCAATTTTTTTTTTTTTTTTCCCATTAATTTACTTTTATTTGACATATTTAAGATGTAGTAATATTGTTAGAAGATGATGAACACTGAGATGGATCTTTGCTGGTTGGATTTAGTATCAGTACGAAGTTGTTTTTGCTGCATTTACCTCAATTCAATTTACTCCATTCGTTTCTAAATTATTGTTTTGACATTTTTTAGATTTCAGTAGTGGGGGTGGAAGCTGGAACAAAATTTCCAATTTCCGCTAAATTTTTCGATATTAGAATAGTGTTCTTCAATAAAAATTCAGAAATTCCAACTTCCGATTTTTCCGAAATTATTTGCAGTGGAATTGGATATATGAGATTCCAATTTCCGATCCGATTTAAGTAACGTCCGAAAATTCCAGGAGTTTTTTTCTTCTGAATATTACACTTAAAATACCAATGTTGTTATGTATTGTATATTTTAGGTGACCAAAAATTCGAATTCTGCGATTCCGATCCGTAAATTTCCGACTGTGGAACAGGTTTTTTTCGTTTCAATTTCTAAAAATCTGATTTTTTCCGAATTTTTGGGAACAAAATTGGAACTAATTTTCCACTTCCGGAACAAATTGGAGTTTTTCGAAAGGGCTAATTCAGATCCGATTCGTCTAATACACCCCTGGATTTAAGGTTTTGGTTTTGGCACTGATGGATGATAATATGGAACCGAAAAAAATCTGTAGATGAAATTATGGTAAATGTGTGAAAAGTATATATATTTGTTGCATATGAATATTATTTTTTCTTTTTTCCATTTGCATAAAGGCAATTGAAAAGGGCATTTCATCGTGTTTTTCTGTGCTAAAATCTGGTTGAAATTATGTGAATCTAATGAAGTATAGTCTCAAGAAATGTGTATATTAAAACAATATATGTATATTTATTTTTCGTACATAAGCAATTCAATCTGGAGTATAGTGTCAAGAAATGAAGTAATTCAAGAATCGAAAATAAATCATTTCGAAATTTGAATACCTTATAAATATTTCAAAGGGATGGTAGAATTGACAAATTACTTTGTATACAAAAGTCCGTTGAAATTTGCAGCACGGGGCTGTGGTTGCAATAAATTACGCTCAACGCTCTCGTAATAGGAATTGTTTCTAGCATTTAAAATTTCCCTTTCGGCTTTACATAACAGGGAAAAAAAGGTTCAATCCAAATTTTTCTTTTCCCATCTATGTATTTGTGGCATTTCGTTATTCAAGTTCTTCTAAATGGTTATAATTATTAGGGTTATTAATAATATTAATAAGGGGAATCGATATTTTATTAAATATATGACGATGAGAGTTGGGGTTTCAAAAAAAACAATAAAAGATCGAACGGTTGGAAACGACGTAGGTAGAGGTCGGGGGAGGGGGAGGGGGAGGGGGAGAGGGAGGGGAGGGGGAAACCCCCCCTCTCCATTGGAGATGCTCTAAAGGAAAAACGTTTGGCTTTTTTCACTCTCTACTTTCCTCGTACCCGAAGAATTTCATTTAAATTGCCGTGATTTTTCTCTGCTCGGTCTTAAAATTTAGAGTCGACTTATTTGTGCTCCTGAAAGGTATGCGGTTTATGAATATTGCCTTTCCTCTTTTATATCCACCTTAAGTGTCTCGATCTTCTCTTTTTTCAATTTAATTGGGCTAGTTAAATTTGTTTACTTATTTAAAATAAGCATGCTCCAATTTTTTGTTACATAAAATCGTTGCAGAATGAATCAAATCACTCAAGGGGATACCTCAACTGGCTTAACGATCCACCCCTTAAAACGTAGAAGGGGCCGCCCCCGTAAAGACCCGAGCCTCAAGCGCACTCGTGGGACCCCCACCTACAACGGGCCAAAAGAAAACGGGCCCCACTCCATGGTTGGCCAGCCCGTAACGGGTGTAATTGAGGCCACATTCGACGCCGGCTATTTGCTGAACATTAGAATCGGTAACTCCACCACGAATTTCCGAGGCCTCGTTTTTAAACCGGGCCATTTTATCCCCGTCACACACGAAAACGATGTGGCGCCACATCTCCAAATGATCACAAGAAATGACGTCTCTACCCCTGTGGGCCCTCCTCGCCAGAAACGCAAGTACAAGTCACGAAAAGCGAGGGTGCCAGCACCCCCACCCCCATTGGGCCCACCCCCTTCGGGGGTGGTCCCGCCGGTGGGGGCGAGGGGGAATGTGGTCCCCGTTGTGCTCCAGCCTGTCAAGACCGGTCATATGATGTCTTTTGGAGACAGAGACGTGCACATGGTCGAGCCGTTGGCCATTTTACCCCCGGATCGATCGATGCCCGTTGGCCAGATATTTGCGGGCCCACAAGGAGAGAAAGTGGGACCCACGGAATCTACTGACACCGACAGCATGGATTCTTCGGAAAGTTCAGATGAAGAAGAAACTGGGAATAGCAACGAACCACCACCGCCGCCCTTTTCGAGTGAGTCGGTGGCGAACGATTCTGCTGCCAAACCTTTGTTCAATTACGGGACTGGGAGAATGACTGAGCTTTTACAGGTGAGACGAAAATTTAAAAGTAGCACACTTGTGTAATAACATTGTTTCTTCTGTAATGAAATGCAATTTTCGTGTTTGCGTGTGTGTGTTTTTTTTTTGTAGGCTTTGCAGGAAAATGTGAAAGAGAAGAAAGTACAGCAGATTGGTGAACAAACAGCTTCTGGTTTTAACGTGGGGTTCCAAGAAACGAGGAATGAGAATGAGTCGACGAATGGAGCGAGTGTTCCGTGACCGGAATTACCTCGAAATATGCATATATCATTTGTTGTTGTTTCTTTCTCTCTTTTTTTATTTAATTTTAATTATAATTATGGGAGCACAAGAGATGTTGCAGCAGGAGGGTTTTTACAGTTATGGAGTTTTGGGCAAAATATGTATCTTTTCTTACTGTTGTAGTTAAATGTTACAGATGCAGAATATTTAATTTTATTTTGTAGCCTTTTATCCTTTCTTTTAATTCTTTTTTTTTTTTTTTTGAGATGTTCTTTTAATTCTTTTTAATTTTATTTTATTTTATTTATTTCCATATATTATGCCTACAAAGAGATTTGAAAAGGTTTGTATTGAATTTTGTTGATAAAATTGAAAATGCACAAAACCAATGAAACAGCGATTTGTTTGATTAAAAACATGGGTAAATTATTGTTGACCCCTGAAGTAAGATCAAATTACAAAAAAATCCCTTATGTTTGGTTAATTACGATCACTCCTCAACTATAAATTTTCTAACACGTCCACATCTGCGGTGTCGGATTCTAATTTTCCATTTTGTACCCGTTTTATTTAATTCGAATTCCATATTTTGAAATAAGAAGATGTTTGTGTATCTTCGCTTGTAAATATCAAATTGTGGTGCTTCAGAAACTGCATTTTCGCTTGTACATGCCATAGAAATGAATGTGAAAGAAGATTCACAGTTGATGGTGATTGTAATTACTCAAACATGAGAGGATTTTTCGTAATTTGTCCTTACCTCAAGGGTGACCATAATTTACCCTTAAAGATATTTTTTAGTTTTTCAACTGAAATTCAAGTCTCAAACATTTGATTCGAAAATGAAGTAGCCTTTTATTATTAATAATCTTACTATATATATATATATATATATATATATATATATTGAAGGTTGTATATTTGGAGGGTAAATGACGAAACTCACTAAACTTAGGTTAAATAACGAAAACCACCCCCAACTATCCGTAATATTCAAAATCCCCATTTGATTAATTGTTGGTTGAGTTTTTTAATAGAAAAAAATATGTAGATTCTATTAAGCTTTATGTTAAATAGGTGAGAAATAAAAGAAAACATCTGAAATTGTGTAAAGTCTATTCCCTGAAATAAAAAAAAAAATCCGTGAAAAGTCACACTGTAAGGAGTTGGTGTAAGACGGAACAAACTTTAGGAGGTTTCGGTAATTACAAATAGGTAGGAGTGTTTTCCGTTATTTAGCCTAAGTTTAGGGGGTTTTCGTAATTTACCCAATTGTGGATGAATGTTTAGGAAAAATAAATAAATCAAGCAATATTTATTGTTTATTTATTACTATATATACGGTATATATATATGTATTATAAAATATACAAATAATAGAAATCGTGGTTGCAAACAGCGACTTCAATTTAATAAGATTTGAAGCACCGACTCAACTCAGAACGATTCTCCTCTATAAATCCATCCCGTCCGTTTGCCCTCTTGTCCGTGTCAAACCCTATCAAAATTAGGGCGCCTCCGTTTTCTCCTCTTTTTCAAATCCTCTTCACCTTCTTCCCCAAATTTCCTCCGTTAGGTCAGATTTCCCCCCCTTTTCATTCTAGAATGATGCAGCAACCAGGAGGAATGGCGCCACCGGCGATGGGCATGGACCAGCAGGCGCCGCCGCAGCAGCACCAGTACCCGCCGCAGCAGTGGATGATGATGCCGCCGCAGACCCAGCCTGTTCAGACGCAGCCGCCGCAATTCTGGCCGCAGCAGCAGCAGCAGCACTACGGCGGTGCCCCACAGGGTAACGCCGCCGCCGCTGCTGGTGCCGGAGGTGGTGTCGATGAGATTCGATCTCTGTGGATTGGGGACCTTCAGTACTGGATGGACGAGAACTATCTCAACACCTGCTTCTACCATACCGGCGAGGTTTAATTCTTTTTTTTTTTTTTTTGTTTTAATTTATAGATAAGCGTTTGGTGAAACACTGTTTGGAAATGTTGTTGATTGTGTTTATTTTACCATGATAGGGAATTTTTAATGCCCGTACAGTTCAGATATCTGAGGATCTGTAATTATTCTGTAGTTCGGGTGACTAATATTTTCCTGAAGTATATGTTTTATGGGGGTTTCTGATTGGTGGTGGTGGTGTGGGGGGGGGGATTTCTTGTGCGTAATTTTTTCTTCCTGATAAATTATATAGTTGCATACATTTATATTCAATTTTGATAGTTACCCTTTTTTTTTGTTTTTTTTGTTTTGATATACGGCTAAGTGTTTTGCTGCTGCCCTTTTTCTGTTTTTCTCATTCTTGATTTTGCTTGACCAAGATAGGGGTTTTGTTAGGGCTTGTATAGTCATATATATCTAAATATCTGTACTAAAATTTTCATGATATATATGTTTTATGGGGGTTTCTGATAGGTGGGGGAGATTGGCTTGTACGTAATTTTTACTTCCTTCTAAATTAGATAGTTGAGAAATTCACTTTTTTATTCATAAATGTACGCTCAATTATTGACTATATATGTTATGTTTCAGCTTGTATCCGCTAAGGTCATCCGTAACAAGCAATCGGGCCAATCAGAGGGGTATGGATTTCTGGAATTCAGGACACATGCTGCTGCTGAAACTATATTGCAAACCTACAACGGTGCAATGATGCCCAATGCTGAACAGAGCTTCCGGATGAACTGGGCTTCACTTGGTGCTGGGGATAAACGAACAGACGACTCCCCCGAGCACACCATCTTCGTGGGTGATTTGGCTGGTGATGTCACCGACTATGTCTTGCAAGAGACGTTCAAGGCTGTGTACCAATCTGTCAAGGGTGCAAAGGTTGTTACAGATAGGACAACCGGACGATCAAAGGGTTATGGATTTGTTAAATTTGGGGACGAGAGAGAACAGCAACGAGCTATGTCCGAAATGAATGGTGTGCTCTGCTCAACTAGGCCCATGAGGATTGGCCCCGCAGCTAACAAAAAACCTATGACCACTACAACTCAACAATGTAAGAATTTTAGTAGTTTGTTTTTTTTGCTTCCTTGTTATACATCTGCTCTCTTTTTTCTTTTTCCTTGTGAAAACAGGGTTGACATGTTTTTAATGTTCCTTGCTTGTGCATATGTAGACAATTCAATTCACAGTATAGGAGAAGCAATTTAAGTAGTTGTTGATGTCCTAAGTTCTGTTACGGTGTTTTAAGTTTGCACGATCTTGAAGTTGTACAAATCATCGAAGATTCCCGGCCTTTACTAAGTCATTTCCTTCCAGTACTTTCCTAGACTTGGACAAATATAATTATATAAAACGTGAAAAAACTTATAAAACTCATGTTGTCTCAGAGCAGGGAAGAGAGAGGCTCTCATTTACGGGGGCCTGGAACTGATTTCAGCTGAAATGAATCCCCTATAATCTGGTCAGTTTAATTTGTTTTTACAATAAGCTTCATGCGTTCCTTTGTCGGATTCCTTTGTGGCATTTCTTTTGCTACATATTCTCTTTAGTTTCGTTTTTCTTTTTCAAGTTACCGGTCAATTAATAACATTAATTGCGCACATGTTACCTTCCAGTACCAATTTTTCAAGTCTTCTACTTCGATGTCTTCATTCCTTTTAATTTTATCATGGCCCAGTTTCTTTTTACTTTAAGCTTTTTGCAAGTTTCAAGTTTTAAGTTTCTTCTTTAGTAAAATCTACTTCTTTTTTCTGTGCGCTGTGAAAAAGATTTGGAGTTTATTTTCGATTGTCAAGTTTCTTTTGGATGATTAGCGAGCTTGGTCTAACTTTCCTCTACTAGTCTGATCTATTTTGTCAATGTCGTCTTAGAAATAAGTTCAATCAAGAGCTCTCCAGCACAATTGTGTTTCATACGCATGTCTGGTTTTTCTTTCTTACTTGTGTTGGTAGTATTTAGGTGGAGTTTGTGGTTTCATGGTTTTCATGTCTGATCACCATACTTAATTAGTACATCATATAAAGTAGTCTGGCCTCTACCAAAAATCCAGTGTTATTTTGAGGTGTGGGGAAAGAGTTGTGAATGAAATGCTGTGTGTATTATTGATATTGAGGTCTGTGTAGCTTAATATGGTAGATGTGGGACTTCGGCTGCTGATGTATTGTATTGAGGCTCCGGAAGAAGTCAATTTGGTTGAGTACAAGTCTTGAGTTAATGGTTTGTGCTATAAAGGTTTGGAAATGAGCTTGTTGAACCACACTTTCTGTTGGTGTTCCAGACCTTTGCTTTTGTTATACTATTTATTGACATTAATATCTATTTCGTTCTGGTTCTCTTCCTCGTTTCTATTTCTTTTATACCACTGCTCGGGTGGTAAGCACTTACGCAATCTGAAAGACGATCATTGTCATGAGTTTTTAGTTTCAATTTTCACAATTATTTGCTGTTTGCAGCTTCCTACCAGAGTCCTCAGGGAGGAGGTGGAAGTCAGGGCGAAAGCGACCCGAATAATACAACCGTGCGTACATTGTCCTAGTTTTTTTACTAAATTCTTTTGACTTCATGTGGTTGACCCCTTTTTTTGCACGTGTAGATATTTGTCGGTGGTTTAGACCCTAACGTGACAGATGACCATCTGAAGCAAGTGTTCTCCCAGTACGGTGAGCTAGTCCATGTAAAAATACCAGTAGGAAAACGCTGCGGATTCGTCCAGTTTGCCGAGAGGTGATTTTGATGATTCATTCATGTCTGAATCTGAAATTCCGATGATGTATGTACTGAAAAAACAATGATTGTTAATGTTTGATATGTAGGTCCTGTGCGGAGCAAGCTTTAGGAAACTTAAACGGTACTCAGTTAGGAGGACAGAACATTCGGCTTTCGTGGGGCCGTAGTCCTTCAAACAAGCAGGTGTGTGTGTGACTGTGTTGCAATCTACTAATCATGTTTATTTAAGAGGCATATCGGATCACTGATTAATTTTTATTTTGGTAAATTAGACGGAGCAGAACCAGTGGGGCAGTGGCGGCGGTGGTGGTGGGTCATATCAGGGTGGCTACTCTCAAGGAGGGTACGAAGGACACGGAGGCGGTGGATATGCTCCTCCTCAAGACCCCAACATGTATTACGGGGGTTATCCAGGATATGCTAATTATCACCAGCCACAACAGGTATTTAAACATTTATTTAAATGTTTTCGTTCGTTTTTTTTTCCTCCCTTTGTCGAATTTTGATTCCTTTTCTCTGGACTTGTTTGGACTAAGCAAATTCTCGTGTTTTTTTTTGCAGTGATCAGAGGAACTAAATCGGAGAATTGTTGGAGGTGGTGGATTTCGGGCGGCAGATATGAAATATGCTTAGTCCACTAAACATATTGTGTCTAATAATATGTGGTGTTTTAAATACTTTTTTTGGGTTATGTTAAAATTATTACTATTATTATTATTATTATGCTGAATTGAGTTTTGCAAGTTTTTTCGAGTGGTGGCTGACATGTCCATTATGGCTAGTTGTTTGCTTATTATGTTGTGATATTCTCTGCTTTAAACTTTTATTTTTAATGTTTATTTACATATCTGGATTTTGGGATCAAATTTAACTGACTGAATTTTGGATTAAATTTCTTGTGCCATTCCATTATTTGGGTTTATGTTACGTTTCTTTTACTTGATATTAGTAACCATGCTCGTGCGTTGCACGGGATATCATTACAAAAGAGAAGAGTTTTTACTTGTAGAACTTAATATGCTAAATATACTTCAATTAAATAATTGAGATCACATCACCATAAAAAAATGTAAATAGATGGATAAATGATATTGAGAACTTGGTCAATATAATCAAAATAATTTTCACCATTGATCAGTAAAATCTGGGCCTTCGTAGCTTGTCGAATTCCTAAATATCATCATTTGTCACATCTTGCTTCATTGTTTCTCAACATCCTCAAGATTGACATCCGAGCAAAACCGTGAAAAAATGTACGAAACCATGCAGTAGATATGAGAAAAGTTTCAAATACTTTTATTGGGTTATGATAAAATTTCTCTTACACCACGTCCAAAATTTTTTAATGTAAACATCACTCATTTTTCATTTCTACGGATATAGATCAAAAGAGCATTCTAACTGTGAAGAGTTATTATATGAAAAAAAAAAAATGTAGTTGTCAACCGTTTAAGTAAACAACAGCTACAGTAAAAGCTACTAAAAACATCAAAGAAGATGTTACATAAATTAGAAATCAGTTTCCAAGTAAAAATGCAGTGTAAAAAATGATCATGATACAATTGCCCTTACACATTTACCAAAGCAGCTGTTACAATGATAGCCGCTCAAAACACACAAAGAAGACGTTACATATATTATCAAGCATCCCCCGACGACTGCATTTTTTACGAAGGCGACTTGAAACTTGCATTCTCTGTCTACAAAAAAAAAAAAAAAAAATCCGTGAGATTTAGAGAAAGAAAAATACAGAAGAATCACATTAACATTGAAGTCTATTTTTAAGTAGATTACTGAAAGTATTGCACCGTAATCATGCAACAAATTTTTTTCACTCGACATTAGAAACCAATTGAATCAATGGCCAACAAAATTAGAACAAAATTCGGGCTTCAACTGTCTTAGAGACTAAGTGAAACACTTTATAGAATCAGATTAGAAATAACTAATTAAGCTAAATATGATACACGTGGGACTATACGAATCATCACATTAGAAACATATACTGAGTAATAACTTGTACTCAGTTCATACGATACAATTTATTTGCTGCCCAGTGCCCCTTATGTCGGATATACCAGTGAAAAAGAAAAATTAGAGACAGAAAGTAGAAGAATTGGATACATTAATGAAAGAAAAACATAATTCTCATAATTGTCTACATACACTCGCACATAGTACACAAAGATCAAAAGATTTAATGTGTAAAATCGCATAAGCTAGGAAACAAAACTTAAACATGCGGTAATATAGCCAAAAAGTTTAGAACTCACAATACCTTTGCATAAAATCATGACCTTACTCCAAAATCTGTGAATAATACAACATACAATCGAAAGGTTTTGTTTAAAAAAGTTTGTCCAAAGATAAAAAAAAATGTACAAACAAGTTTGATGCAACATGTGTTAGGATCAAGAATTTTCAAAAACATTTACGAAATAATCCCAATAGTATACTAACATAATTTCAGAGAACTCCAACGCTTAGATTTAAGATTAATGAGGTAGAAGTTTCTTTACAAAAAAAATAGACCGACCACAAATGAACATGCGACCGGAATGAGGATCAAAACTATTGCTAGTTTGGTCTTTCAGAAGGGGTTCAAGATCATGCACATTAGTGGAGGCTAATATAAGTTTCTTAGTAGTGACTGATAAGTTATTTCCTCGTCAGATAGATGTATAAAGATGAAAAGCATGGAAAACAACTCAAATATTTAACCATATATATAGAGTAAAAATAAAACGAAATTAAAGAAAAAAACAATAATGAAGTCAAAATCACCAACAAAGTCGAATCACGGCATGCTCGATTTTTAACGAATCAGAGTCCAATGATGAAACCCTATGGGGAATTATCCCCCGTCTGTTAAGCGAATTCTTTTTTCACCTCAATTTCATCGATTTTACTATTTTATGCGTTTTATTTACAGTATTCCAAATTACACCGAATTTATTAATGCGTCTGTGTGTGTGTTTTTTTAATATTTGATACGGATACCAAACGAGCCCTAAAACTAAGCCCTACACCTAATTATACACCGCCTCTTTCTTTGTTTAAGTATAAACCGTCTTTCTTTGTTTAAGTATAAACCGTCCGCCACTTTTCAAACCCTAAACCTCTCTCTCCACCGCTCTCCGTCAAACCCTAACCACGTAATCTCTCTCCACCGCTCTCCGCCACATGGCTTACGAGTACCTTGCGCCGGAACTCATTGCACAGCAACTCGCTATCTTCATGGATGCCACTGCCGATAACAAGGAATACCCCAAATCCGGCGATAAAACGAAGGTTAAGGAATGGTCGATGACCCGTGGATCGGCTAGTATCTTGAATAAGAAGAAAGTTTCGATTGACAGTCTCGAGAAGATGGACGCCATGGTTTTGCTCAAGAGCCGTTACGGATCGTTACGGATTTGAAGGGAGGGTCGTTCTGAGCAAGGCGATAACGCCCCGTCTGCGTACATAATTGGCACAAATAGCGTTCGAAAATGGCATACATGTCTAGGGAGTTTCTAGATCTAGGGTTGTAATTTGTTTAGCTTCTAGATCTAGGGTTGTTTTTTGTTTATATGTGTGTTTTTTTTTAATATTTGATACGGATACCAAACGAGCCTTAAAACGAAGCCCTAAACCTAATTATACACCGCCTCTTTGTTCGTTTAAATATAAACCGTCTGCCACTTTTCAAACCCTAACCTGCAAACGTAATCTCTCTCCACCGCTCTTCACCAAACCCTAACCTGCAAACGTAATCTCTCTCCACCGCTCTCTGGCACCGCCTGCAAAATGACTTATGAGTACCTTGCACCAGAACTGATTGCACGAGAAAGTTCTGATTGACAGTGTTTTGAATCATGGTGCAATCACGGAACTTTCTGGTGCAATCACGGTTCACGAAACCGTTCTGGTGCAATCACGGTTCACGGAACTTTCTGGTGGAATCACGGTTCACGAAACCTTTCTGGTGCAATCACGGTTCACGGAACTTTCTGGTGGAATCACGGTTCACGGAACTTTCTGGTGCAATCAATTCTGGTGCAAGGTACTCATAAGCCATTTTGCAGGCGGTGGCGTAGACCAGAACTGATTGCACCAGAAAGTTCCGATTGACAGTGTTTTGAATCATGGTGCAATCACGGAACTTTTTGGTGCAATCACGGTTCACAGAACCCTTTCTGGTGCAATCACGGTTCACGGAACTTTCTGGTGCAATCAGTTCTGGTGCAAGGTACTCATAAGTCATTTTGCAGGCGGTGGTGGAGAGTGGTGGAGAGAGATTACGTTTGCAGGTTAGGGTTTGACGGAGTTGAAGAAAGTTAGGTTAGGCTTCTACCAATTTTAAAAATCAGTCTTATTAGGGAAACAGTCTCAAATTAAAATTCTTAGCGACTCAGAAAAGACCAACCAGCAAGACGCACGGGGAAGAGGGAAACAGTCGAATTTCAGACGACTCCTCACTTAGGAATTCAGTTAGGGAAAAACAAAATCGTAAAATTATTAGCAACTCACAAAAATTCCACATAAACCAACCTTTAGTTGTGAATGACTGCACCCATTATTTGCATGAAAACCCATGGAAGAAGTCACTAATATAGTTTATAGTATCTTAGAGTTAATAATGTTTATCAGTAGGATGTACATCTTAGAGTTATTAGCCCAGAGAATTCACATTTATTTATCTACTTATTTATTTCCAAATCATAGAAGTATTATTATATGCCTAAAATTCAAAACAAATATACAGATTCATAGTATACATGTGAAGAGTAGAAGTAAATAAAATGAAAATAAATTATTATCAAGTAAAAGGGTGTCCTAATTATTATAATTATTATTGATAGATAAAGAACAACTTGATAGGAAAAAAAATTAAAATTACAGCATTGTTATGAACTGTCTCTAATAGAAACGGGTGCAGTGGTGCGTCACTGCGGATTTTCAGACTCACGAGGCAAAAGTTGCGAGAAATGTAATTACGTCCACATTTGCCAACTTAATTCATGTAAGGTAAACCTCCAAACACAAATAATCAGTAAACATAATAAAATTAATGAACTGAACCAAACATACAATGAAGCCCTAACACTATTATGTCTAGAACTGAATCACGAAACATGTTCTTAAGAATAAATCCTTAGTTTTGTAAGTCTGCAGTATTGATGACATGTAGTTCCATAAATTCCTAGGCAAACATTTACCCTTTCAATGCCAAATTGACACTCACACAGATGTTCATGGGATGGAAGAAGAAAAAGAATGATAGGTTAATTTCTTTGAAAAAATGTAGTGACATGCATTTATAAAGAAATACCTTGTCATTTCATCTCCATCCGACCAAAGTGGTGGCACAAACATGAATACCTTAAGAACGCAATACGTGACAACATTTGCTTCATCTCCTTCTAGTGGAGCAACCTAATGTTATTGGGAATAAGAACATTAAACCTTTAGTCTAAGAAACATGGATGAAACATTCTCCGACGACAGGAAAATTAGCCGTTTAATTTTAGTATTTAGTAGGAGAAGTCCATGGAGGGATGGTGAAAAATATTAATCGGAAACGTTTTGGTTAAAATAATACTACTACTTGTTAGTTATACTTCCCAAAATCTTTATGCAGATGTAATCTCGATTTTCAGGAATTTTACTTGCAAATGCTATGAAAACACATGATACACCAGCAGGTCTTCATCAAGCATCACACCTTCATTAAGCTCCGGCACGGGGGGCATAAATGAGAAACATTCAATATGAACCAAATACATAAGGTTCAAAATGATTAATATATAATCACAGTTTAGTAAAGAATGAACTAACATCTGTAACAAGGAAAATCTAACATCAAAGAACTGTGGAGTTAACCAAATTAATTGAATTATACTATGGCTTACAGAAAATGCATCGTCCAACAAAATGAAATATTATTTTGTGTAAAAACGTATTTACCAGCCAATACCTTTCAGAGATGAGATTGTACGGGCCAAAACTCACAAAAGATGGTGCATATTAAGAAATATAACATTTAAAAGAAATCCATTATGAGATGTGAAATTATGAGACACAAACTACAGCAGAAAACAATTGAGAAAGAGAGAGATATTTCCGAATGACAGCAAGGTAAAACCCCTATAATTAGTTTTCCGAAACGGTGTTTTTTAGATGTGGGCATACGAAAAACCGTACAAAATATTATTACAAAAAGACCCCCTACAACTATAAGAATTACAGAAAATGCCCCTAGGGTTGCCTAGGGTTGAAACCCTAAAAAATGCCACGTGTCAAAATATTATGCAATAGATTCTCTTTTTATATATACTAGTAATCCCCCCGTGCGATGCACGGGACAAACTATTGGTCGTTATGCACGCTCAAATGATGTTCTACGTACATATTTTTTTCTCTCTATATATTAAAGTTTTAAAAACTTAAATTTAACATTTAGATAAGCTTGAGTTCAGGTAATAATACACACCCGGCCAAAATCCAGTTGAAACATTCAAAACAGATTTACGCAAAAGAATTTTATAATAAAAAATAAACTAACAAAAAATAATTTTGTGACCGCAAATAGCATTTCATCATAAATTTCTATTTTTCTACAAAATACCAAAATAGTACAAAAATTATCCACCAAAAACATCTGTTAAACTTAAAGAAGTGAAAGTGCATATACGACCAACCTTAACATCTATGAATAGGGGTGAAAGTCGGATGGATTGGATCGGATCGGAATGAGCTTTTTCGGAAAATTTCCAAAAAAAATCGGAAGTACAAAATCAATTCCAATTCCAATTCCTAAATTTTCGGAATCTAAAAATTCATTCCAATTCCAAAAGGCCCGGAAATTTCGGAATTTCGGAAAAAACTCGGAAATCATATAAGCTTTAAAATTTCTAAACTTAGCCAAAATTTTCTAAAATATTCATAATTTTTCGAAAATAAGAGCATCCACGTCGATAAAAGTAAAACTAATAACTACTAAATTTCAGTTCAAAAAAATGAATAAAAATAAACACAACATAATATCCAATAAAACTTCTAACAACAATTCATTATGTCAAAATCCTAAAACAAAACTTATAGGTGTATTTTTCGGAAAATAAGTATTATATAATATATACATTTATAGGTGTATTTTTCGGAATTAAATCGGATCGGAAATCGGAAATTCCAAATTTATTTTATATAATTCCAATTCCAATCCAAAAAAATCGGAAAATTTCGGAAATCGGAATTTCGGAAGTTGGAATGAAAAAAGTTGTTCCAAAATCGGAACTTTTCGGATCGGGACCGGCGGAAATTGAAAAATCCGTTCCAAATTACATCCCTATCTATGAAGGAGGAGAACACACGCACGCAAAAAACATGAAGAAGAAGAATAATAATAATAATAATAAAAAAGAAAAACAAAAAGAAAAAAACAAAAAAAATCTTGATTGACGATGTTTAAAAAATAAAAACTGAAGGCATAAACTATGTGGTACAGAAATAGACAAATCCAAACATGTAGAAGAAGTGAATGTTCATATAGAGTCATACTGCGTAGTGAATTGTTTCAGAAATTCTCTATAACCACTTCTTGAATAAATTGGTCCCTCCAATAGAACTCTTCAAATTTTAGCTAACTATTATCTTTAACTACTTCTTGAATAGATAGTTATTTCCCTAAAAAAAAAAAAAAGAATAGTTAGTTATAAAAATATCATATATATTACTATTAATTTACTGAATAATAAAAAAAAATTATTTTTATTCTATGTAAAATATATTATTGTATTAAATAATTAAACTAAATTTTAGAAAACAAATCTGCTAAGCATGTTGCTGCCAAATTTATTCAGTTCGGAAAAGAACAAAGGAAAAACATTAAAAAAAAAAAAAAATTATTGAATAACTGGAGAAGATAGAAGAGATCTATTAAAACCCGAAAAAATATGCCCAACAATTCGTCATATCCTTTGCAAAAGAATAAAATCCACGTAAACGTAAACGTAGAGTTTTATTTCTACACTCCTCTGTATCTTTTTTATCCAGTGTTTTTGCTGTTGTTTGTTGATGCGTATTAAAGTCCTAGTATTGTAGTTCGTGTTTTTAAGAACATTGTTGCGAATGCACTTTTGCGTATATTTGAAATAATTATTATAAATAATAAATTAGTAATGTATAATTATACATTATTATTATTTCGATTTTTAATTTCGTATATTTGAAATAATTATTATAAATAATATATATATATATATATATATATATATATATATATATATATATATATATATATATAATGTCGACGTTAGCGACGGAGCTATCGAGTTCTTTTTAAACAACTGCCCGCGGCTGGAGCGACTGATTGTCCATTCCTCGAACCAAATGTCGAAGCTCGAAATTTGTGGTCCGCCCCTCGTATTAAAACACTTGGAGATCGAGTTTTGCTCGGGTTTGGAATCGCTTAAAGTTTCCGTGCCGAGTCTTACTTCACTCAGCGTCACGAGTTTAAAGGGGTTCTCACTCGAGAATGTTCCGATGCTCGTTGATGTATCGGTTCACATTGTTGACGACAACACTTTACTAGATCGTTTGTTTCATCTACTGTCTTGTTGCATCTCTCAACTGCAAACTCTCCACGTGTCTTTGGACAACGAAGATATTTCCAGTGCGGAATTAGACGAGCTTTGGGAACTTCCTCAAATGCCTAAACTCAAGAAGTTGTTCATTGAATATTGTGTAAGAGGCGATAAAAGCCTCGTTCGACTCGCCCCTGTCATACGGGCGTCTCCTTCCTTAGTCGAATTTGTTTTACACGTAAGCCTTCTGCTCTACTATATAGAGCTTTTTATGCAATTTTAGTATCCAGATCGATTCTTACGCATTTTCTTGACGTGTGCAGCATAACTGGTATCTATACCCGAGGGAAGATAGACAACAACGGAATGAATATGCTATAAAGATTCCGCACCGGCATCTTAAAGTTTTCGAGTTTCGTGGCTATTATGGTTGCAGTAATGATGCGGGATTACTCGGCTACATTTTGGAGTACTGCGTCGTTCTTGAGAAAATAATAATCGATCCGTGGTTTAAATTGGGAAACAACGATTTAGAAATCGAAGAAGTGGAAGAAACTGCAAGAAAGACCGCGAAACGAGAGCTTGCACCACAAGTACCTCAACGCATCGAATTGGTTATTCTTTAACTTAAACGACCATGAGGAAGGATTTTGTAGTGTTTCAATTGTTTTATTTTACAGTTAAACCTCTATAAATTAATAGAGTCGCGACTAGAGAAATTCTATTAATTTAGCGAATTATTAACTTATCGAGTTAATAATTTAATGTATTTTCACCGAATCGGAGTCGAGAGAAACTATTATTTAAGCGAAGTTATAATTTATGTAGAATTCAATTTTTATGGGTCAAAATCTATTATAATTCGATTTTTTTTTTTTAATATTTTTTTGCAAAACTATCTAGGAATTAAATAAAGGACGATATTTTGCATGGCGGGTTTGAACGGATTTCACGAGTATTAAAAAGAAAAATCGAAACCGCATCCGAATAAATTCTATTTAATACTTCCAATAATCGGGATTTTCAATCCCAATTCATCAACTATGAATTACTTCATTTTCAATAGAGTAAAAAACAGTTTACCCCCTAAATTAAAGCCCGTTTTGCACTTTGCCCCCCAAACAAAAAAAATTTGCACGTTTTTACCTGAACTCGTTAATTCATTGCACGGTGCCTCCTAAAAGGAATATTCCGGCAATTTTGACGGAAATATGACTACACGTGTATTGCACATGAGATTTGCAGGGGCAAATTGGTCACTTCCCTTACATTATATATTTTAATATTTAAAACAAAATAATAATAATAATAATAAATAAATAAAAAGGAAAAGGAACAAAAATGAGTTGTCATCCACTCATCCCGTAGACCACCATGGCACCACCATTGAAGCAGTCTTGCAGCAGCTGCTGGACTTTCGGGATTCGGGTGGAGCCGCCGACGAGAACCACCTCGTGCACCGTAGATTTATGGATTTTCTTATCCCGTAAGCACTTTTCGACGGGCTCCATACACCTCACGAACATGTCCATACATAGTTCTTCGAATCTCGCTCTAGTAATGGTGGCGTAGAAATCGATACCTTCGAATAACGAATCGACTTCGACTGTCGTTTGCGTGGTGGAGGAGAGGGTTCTTTTCGCTCTTTCGCAGGCGGTTCTGAGTCTCCTTAGAGCTCTGGCGTTCCCGCTTATGTCCCTTTTGTTCTTTCGCCGGAATTCGGAGACGAAGTGGTTGACCAGGCGGTGGTCAAAGTCTTCGCCGCCGAGGTGAGTGTCGCCGGCGGTGGCTTTCACTTCGAATTATATGCCTTCTTCTATGGTGAGTAATGAAACGTCGAAAGTGCCGCCACCTAAATCGAAGACGAGGATGTTCTGCTCGCCGGATCCGGAGCTTTTCTTGTCCAGATCGTAGGCAATGGCGGCGGCGGTGGGTTCGTTGATGATACGGAGGACGTTGAGGCCGGCGATCGATTCCACCAGCGTCTTTCGTTGCTTGTCGCAGGCGAGATTCCGGTGAGACTTTGAAGCTTGAGGTCATATCCTCGAATGTGACGTCTGATTGTGGTTTTGGTAATTTTGTTTTGTTTTTCTCTTTTTTTCTCTTTTTTTTTTGTGTTTTTTAAAGATTAATTTATATTTAATATATAGCATGTAAGTGAATGGACGAATATACCCCTGCAAATGTCACGTGCATGCCACATGTTTTAACTTTCCGGTCAAAATTGCCGGAAAATTGAGTTCAGGTGGCATCGTGCAACGAATTGACGAGTTTAGGTAAAAACGTGCAAATTTTTTTTGTTTGGGGGGCAAAGTGCAAAACGGGCTTTAATTTAGGGGGTAAACTGCTTTTTACTCTTTTCAATATTACATGTTAATCTACTGATATGTATAAATCATACATGTACATATACATACATAAATACATACACAACATGTATACATAGAAAAAAAACTAGTGTACTGAAGAGCAATAAACCTGGAAGAAAAACATACATAATTTATTTATATCAGCAGCCA